TTAAACCGAGTCAGGCTACTGACAGATAAAATGATGCTACAGAGATTTCATTTATTCAGAATTTCGTAAATTCTATGGTCGTTATAATGAACTTGTTGGCAAATACGAGGGGCATTTGAAAAGTTCTGAGATCGGTTTGATAAAATATTAACCGTTTTATGAAAATTACTGAATTTGATATAATTTAATTTTGTTTGTATTCTAGCCTCTGATTGGTAAATATCCAAAAAGGAACACAAATTATTTCTGTATAACCTGGTTTGGTATGGGGACCCCCCCCCCCCCCCCCCCGACAACCAGCTGAATCATCTGTATGCATACAATCCTCTCATTTCCAGTCCTCGGGATTCATGGAAAATTCTAGATTTAATAAATATACCTTTAACTTCAAACAATAATTCGATCTTACCACATGTAAACAAGCTGCTAGGCCTATGTATCAGTTTTTACCTCCCCTTGCTTCCCATCACTTCCGTTACTTCCGTTACTACGGTTGTATTATTGAGCGGCAAATTTGAACTAATAAAAAGCAACGAAATTTTACACCCATAGTTATTTAATGATTTTAAAATTAAATTATAAGGAATGACTCTAATTCTTGGCCAAATTATTCGAGTATAACCTGGTTTGGGTCAGTTTACGCTGTTTTATAATCCGCTTCGCGGATTATAAAGCGTAAACTGACCCAAACCAGGTTATACTCGAATAATTTGGCCAAGAATTAGAGTCATTCCTAAAATCATTGGACAGATCACAAAAATATACACATATTGTGACGTCACTTTGTAATTTTTATTATGTAATAACTCCGAAAAATGACGTCAAAATCTCGAACGTCTAGCATACTGACCATAAAAATGACGTAACAAGAAACACAATTTCAGTGAAGAAAAATTTTAATGTCAACTTTTGTTCATTACTCGGATGCACTCTAACGGGCACAACTGCCAGTTGGAAGAATGCTTACATAGACTACAGTCTATCATACGGAGTTATATTCAGAAGCTCCTATAGTTCTAAGGTGGTTTCAGAGTGTGTCAAACATAGCATGTTATAATCGAATCTTGCGCAAAATATAGGGTAAAAAAGATGCTGCTGTGAGAAAATCACAAAGTTTACAATCACAGAAAAGTAGTGGACGGTGTTACAGATTTTCCTGGCATTAATTCGTCAGGTTTTATATAACCAATTTTGCGGGAACGATTAAAGCTCAAGAAAGGTTAAGCTAAGGCTGTCCTATATTTTCTCGTAAAAACCAAAATTGCGCCGGTGTATTTCTAACCCCACCGTAACATGATATGTTCGAAAATTTTAAATCATGGAAAATAAATAAGTTTATACATGGCAATGGAACTCAGATTTATTTTTTGGAGTCGAAAGTAAAAAGCAATAGTGAGTTTTGGATTGCCGAAGTTGAAATAATATGAAAAAATACGCACAGAAACAAGTAAGGGGGAAGACTTTTGTGCATTTTATTCGTAAACGGTAAGAGTCCTGATACTCCAGATACATTTGTGGAAAACTGCATTGTTAAACTTCAGTTTTAAATAGGATATCTTTTATTTATTATAGTTGAGATCTATATAATAGATAGAAAATCAAGCTTTTTCATATAAATAAAAATCTTTAATGAATGCCTAAGATAATACATGTATTACCGTGCTTATTAACCAAGCAAAACAATAAAATGTGGAATTGCTGATTTACAGTACCATTCTTGCAGTCTTACTCTACCTCCATGCAAATTTTCTATGAAATATCTTTTCAAAGAAGCCTTTGACAGCACTTTTTTGATGTTCTCATCTGGATAAAAAACGCCACTTTTCTGTATGCTAAACTTTCGAGATTCTGACGTCATTTTTGGAGTTATTACGTCAAAAATATAAGAAAATGACGTGAATATAAGTGCAAATTTTCCAGCTCTTTTTTATGGTATCAAACTTATTAACTTCCGTGAAAGGGTTAATATTTTAGCAAGCAGTTCTCAGAACTTTTCAAATGACCCTCGTATAACCTGTCATTGGGTCGTATTTTGACTGCTATATTTCATACCAAATGTTAAGCCTTTGCTTTTACACTGAACTTGACTACAGAATATTCCGTCTACCTGATCAATACATAGGGCTCACGGCTGGTGTCGGCGATCGACAGGGGATGTTTACTGCTCCTATGCACCTGATCCCACCTCAGGAAATTCCAGGGGTTCGTCTTTTATGCCTGTTCAAAGATTTGTATTGTTTGTAGGGATTTTTAAAAGATCAATCACTGTTTTTTAGCTTCACCTTTTTCATTTATACACATGTATGAAACCTATTAATATGTAAATTTACATATCAATAGTTAATACCTGTGGTTGTATTGTGACTTAACTGTTAAAGGGTAGGTCACCGTGGCCTCATTTTGGATGGCTTTACTTTCCGGATCACAAGGTCTAGGGCGATCAAACCAGGTCTGTCGATGCATCCAAAGCCGGGGGGGGGGGGGGGGGGATGTGTGACACAAATGTGGATCATCGTGGTCTTTAATATTTACTTTGGAATTTATGGCTTGGACAGGATCATATCTTGTAGTACATTTATTATCAAAAGTAGGATGTACGTGTAGCAACTTAATTCATTCGGGAAAATTTTGTAGCCAATTAGTTTCCGTACATTCCTTTACTCAGTGTAAAACCTAAAACCTTGTCAATTAATGCATCTTAGGAGAAAATGTGTCGCAATTCCAAATAGGTCACAGTGACCCCCTTTGGCATTTTTTAAAATCTTTAACTAGTCAAATCATGTCTTCTATTACACTTTTGATGCCTACAGCTATTAAACCTGGTCATTTGATGCATCTTGGAAGAAAGGTGTGCCATGACCTAAAAAAGTAGGTCGCAGAGATCTCATTTTGGAATTTCATAGCTATAAAAAATTCAAATTGCAGATAGATCATGTCGCACACCGTAAAACATTTGATCATTTAACTTTGTCTATGTAGCAATAAGGGGGAAGATTTATACTATTATCTAGTTTTGAGAATGTTTTGGCTATACATAATTGAACTAGATATCATTGAGATGGTGGCCATCTCAAAGGGCCCCGCTTTCAGCAATGAACATGGAAATGTAAGGTAGCTGAAAAGGGTTTATTTTGAAGAGGAACATTTTATGTACTATTAAGGGATGTGTTGTTTGAGTCTAAAGGGCTTCTATGTTCTCCTCGTTATAATAAAAAATGGCATGAAAATCATGAGTGCTCAACCCCTTCCATCAAAATACGACACAAAAATCACGAATGCTGAATATCCTCTATGAAAATTGTTGCTCTATCAGAAATATGGAAGGAAAATAACAAATGATCCGTACCCTAAGTCAATTGGTAAGGTTTGAGGCTGACTAGACTTAAGGGAAAGAAATTATGCACCTAACAAAGATTTTAAACAGAGAGGCTATTTTTGAAATTGACCCTTGACCTAGAAACTTCTTTCAAGGTCACTGCACATCCACTGACAAGTGGCACTCTGCGAGTGAAGTATGAGCCACATTGGACCAAGGGAGAGAAGTTATGCTCTGGACAAGGACTTTTCATATAATTCTGCTATGACTTTGACCTTAGACCTACAAACATGGTTCAAGGTCACTGCATACCCTTTACCCAAAAGCACTCTGTGGGTGAAGTATGAGCCAGATTGGGCCAAGGAGAGAGAAAATATGCTTTAGACAAAAATTTAAACAGAGAGGCTTTTTTTTTTACCTTGACCTAAAAACTTTGTTCAAGGTCACTGCACATCCATTGACCAGTGGCACTATGTGAGTGAAGTATGAGCCACATCGGATCAAGAGGAGAGAAGTTATGCTCTGGACAAGGACTTTTCATATAATTCTGCTATGACTTTGACCTTAGACCTAGAAACATGGTTCAGGGTCACTGCACACCCTTTACCCAAAGACACTTTGTGGGTGAAGTATGAACCAGATTGGGCCAAGGAGAGAGAAGATATGCTCTGGACAAGGATTTAAACAGAGAGGCTATTTTTGGCCTTGACCCTTGACCTAAAAACTTCCTTCAAGGTCACTGCACGTCCATTGACCAGTGGCACTATGTGAGTGAAGTAGGAGCCACATTGTACAAAGAGGAGAGAAGATATGCTCCGGACAAGGATTTTTCATACAATTCTGCTATGACCTTGACCTTAGACCTAGAAACATGGTTCAAGGTCACTGCACACCCTTTACCCAAAGACACTCTGTGGGTGAAGTATGAGCCAGATTGGGCCAAGGAGAGAGAAGATATGCTCCGGACAAGAGATCTAGGACGGACAGATGGACGGACGGACAGACTGATCACTATAGGGCACCCGCAGAGCGGGGCCCTAATAATCATATCCAGATCACATTATCATGTAGAGTGCAAGACTTAAGAGTCATCAAGCATCTAAGTGGAAAGTGTTTATGACCAAAAAGTAGGTCACCAACTTTAATTTAGAATTTTATAGATTGTGTCCAGTTCATATCTCTCACACTATGAAAGCTACATATAATTATAACAATCAAACATGAATTTTGTCTTTTCATTGAACCTTTCAATAGATAACAAAGAAAGTTCTTGAGTTTTTCTACATTTCAGAGAACTTCAGATACCTAACAGAAACTTTATTCCAATGTAGTTGCAAATAACAGGGTCAGATTATGACTATAAATATTCATAAACGGGTATGCATTACGCAGTTCTGAATGGGTTATTGGGTATACCATGTTCACTAGTGGGACATTTGTAATATATAATCTATACATGATGCACATGTAGTCAGAAATTTTTTATCATAATTATCTAGAGATGAGATACAAATGATAATCAGTCATTTTTTCAAATATACAGATATTTTTATTTTCACTTGAAATACCTTCACATCTGAGCTCTCCAATTTTCCTCCAAAGCATAATTTATCATACATCATTAACTCAGTTCACTTCACACTTCTGTCAAAACTCTCTTTACAACTAACGCCAACACAATACATTATAAGATACAGTTCAAATGAATCCTGAACTGATTTATTTCATACACAATTTGTCAATCCAAGAACTAATAACTTTGGGGCCTGTACACATACCTACTTTGAAGTGAGAAATGGACATATTCTTTTCAGACACAGTATATAATGAGAGAACAATCTCAAAACAAAATAAGTATCTGATGCTTATTCTCAGATATATATCCTTTATGAAGCTGAATTAAAGTTGAATACCTGCACTTTAATCATTATGTCATAATGTGTGAATCATTTTTTTTAATTCAAATTCTCAATTCAATATTCATATATATTGATTGATCTTTCTATCATTGAAACTTTGATGTTACTCATATAATGAACACAATACAGGTCTACACATTCAATCTTTTCACATACATAAATCAGATTGTTTCAGGCTTATAACTCTCTCTCTCAAAAAAAAATTCTCATCCCCTTTTGAACAGTCATTTACTCATATACATTCCCAAAAATTACAACATCCTGTACATAAGTCATTGTACAATACCATCACCTAATGAACAGCTTCACAGACAAAATACAAAGATTTCATACACTTAAAATTCCATAATATTCTCAGGAAAAGTCACTAAAAACATACAAATAATTATTCAAAGTTTTCTTTGAAATACCAAAATTTTTTCAATTGGAGTTTTTTATTTAAAAAAAAAAAAGCACTTCATTTACATGCAACAAATATATTGATGTTTTTAACTTTACAAAATTGCCTACAAGAAAAAGCACTTCATTTACATGTAACAAGGAAACAGACCAGCCTCCACACAGATCTGTCTAGTGCTGCCTTGTGATCTCCCCCACTTTTGTATCTGACTAGAATCGATTTGGACTGTACTCATCTGGAAACTTAAACTTGTGTGAGCCATCTCCCATCACTTTGGGTAGTGTGCCAGCATTGGGAATGACGTTCCAGGACAAAGTCAAAGTAATATTCTTATTACCCCTGTAAAAGTAATACTTTGTTGTACAATGTAATATACCAGGACAGAGTCAAAGAAATATTCTTATTGCCACCTTAAAAACAATACTTTATTGTACAATGTAATGTGCCAGGACAAAGTCAAAGTAATATTCTTATTACCCCTGTAAAAGTAATACTTTGTTGTACAATGTAATGTACCAGGACAGAGTCAAAGAAATATTCTTATTACCCCTGTAAAAGTAATACTTTGTTGTACAATATAATATACCAGGACAAAGTCAAAGTAATATTCTTATTACCCCTGTAAAAGTAATACTTTGTTGTACAATGTAATGTACCAGGACAGAGTCAAAGAAATATTCTTATTACCCCTGTAAAAGTAATACTTTGTTGTAAAATATAATATACCAGGACAAAGTCAAAGTAATATTCTTATTACCACCTTAAAAACAATACTTTGTTGTACAATGTAATATGTACCAGGACAGAGTCAAAGTAATTTTCTAATTACCCCTGTAAAAACAATACTCTGTAGGGCAATCCATGTAACACACGAGGAAATCAGCTCTGATTTGTATTAACATGTATGGTAAAATATCACATATATTGTAGGCACAACTTGCACCAGCTATAACACAAGAGGCCCATGGGCCACATCGCTCACCTGAGTAACTTTGGCCATGCTGTTCTTTACTAGATTTCCCCGTTGTAATACTTATTGTGGCCCCGCCCTACCCCTGGGGGTCATGATTTTAACAATTTAAAATCTATACTATCCCAGGATGCTTCCACATATGTTTCAGTTTTTCTGGCCCAGATGTTCTTGAGAAGAAGATTTTTAAAGATTTTTCTTACATATTTCAATGTAAAACTTGTAATACTTATTGTGGCCCCGCCCTATCCCCGGGGGTCATGATTTTTACAATTTAGCATCTACACTACCCCAGGATGCTTCCACATAAGTTTCAGTTTTTCTGGCCCACTTGTTCTTGAGAAGAACATTTTTAAAGATTTTTCTTACATATTTCAATGTAAAACTTGGATTCCCTATTGTGGCCCCGCCCTACCCCCGGGTGTCATGATTTTTACAATTTAGCATCTACACTACCCCATGTTGCTTCCACATAAGTTTCAGTTTTTCTGGCCCACTTGTTCTTGAGAAGAAGATTTTTAGAGATTTTTCTTACATATTTCAATGTAAAACTTGGATTCCCTATTGTGGCCCCGCCCTATCCCCGGGGGTCATGATTTTTACAATTTACCATCTACACTACCCCAGGATGCTTCTACATAAGTTTCAGTTTTTCTGGCCCAGTTGTTTATGAGAAGAAGATTTTTAAAGATTTTTCTTACATATTTCAATGTAAAACTTGGATTCCCTTTTGTGGCCCCACCCTACCCCCTGGGGTCAGGATTTGAACAATTTAGCATCTACACTACCCCAGGATGCTTCTACATAAGTTTCAGTTTTTCTTGCCTAGTTGTTCTTGAGAAGATTTTTAAAGACTTTTCTTACATATTTCAATGTAAAACTTGGATTACCTATTGTGGCCCCGCCCTACCCTCGGGGTTTAGAATCTACACTATCCCAGGATGTTTCCACATAAGTTTCAGCTTTTCTTGCCCAGTGGTTCTTGAGAAGAAGATTTTTAAAGATTTTTCTTATATATTTCAATGTAAAACTTGGATTCCCTATTGTGGCCCCGCCCTACCCCCGGGGGTCATGATTTTTACAATTTAGCATCTACACTACCCCAGGATGCTTCCACATATGCTTCAGTTTTTCTGGCCCACTTGTTCTTGAGAAGAAGTTTTTGAAGATTTTTCTTACATATTTTAATGTAAAACTTGGATTCCCTATTGTGGCCCCGCCCTATCCCCGGGGGTCATGATTTGAACAATTTAGAATCTACACTATCCCAGGATGTTTCCACATAAGTTTCAGCTTTTCTTGCCCAGTGGTTCTTGAGAAGAAGATTTTTAGAGATTTTTCTTATATATTTCAATGTAAAACTTGGATTCCCTATTGTGGCCCCGCCCTACCCCCGGGGGTCATGATTTTAACAATTTAGAATCTCCACTACCCCAGGATGCTTCCACATAAGTTTCAGCTTTTCTGGCCCAGTGGTTCTTGAGAAGAAGATTTTTTAATGACCCCACCCTATTTTTGTCTTTTCTTGATTATCTCCCCTTGTAAGGGGACTTGGCCCTCTTTATTTTAACAATTTAAACTCCCCTTCACCCAAGGATACTTTGTACCAAGTTTGGTTAAAATTGGCCCTGTGGTTCTTGAGAAGAAGTCAAAAATGTGAAAAGTTTACAGACGGACGGACGACGAACAACGGGTGATCAGAAAAGCTCACTTGAGCTTTCAGCTCAGGTGAGCTAATAAAATACAGGAAACTACAGCAGAAAAATTCTTTTTGTAGACAACTTCTTTTTAAATTTAGTCTTCTTTAATTTCTTTCTGAACTTTATATTGCCAAGTTACCCCTCATTTTAAATGTGCCGGTCAAGTATTATACTATAAATATGCCACTACGACAATCTGACAACAGATAAGTTTCTTTTCTGTAACTGAAAAGTACAGTCAAACCTTGTTATTTTGAACTCGATAGGATCGAGGTAAACCTTCGAGATATCCAATGATTTGAGATATTGAGAGAAAAATACTTAAAGGATAAGTGGATGGGACCTCCAAATCACTTCGACATATCCATGGTATATGAGATATCAGTGTTCGATATACTGAAGTTCAACTGTAAGTAACTCAGATATTTCAATGACATTTCTGTTTTGTATTACTTTAAGAAATAATTCACCTTAATTTCCTCTGGACAATAAGTGCCCAGTGCCAAAAGGCTGAAAAATTTATAATCAAAAGCCTGAAAGGCTTCAATGACGTCGAAGAAGAAAAACAATTTCAAAAGATCATTTTGAATGTGAAGGTAGCAATAAGTCAAGTGAGTGACTCAGGAGACATAATAAAAAAATAGTTTAAACAAAATATCACAATTACAGTCTGGGGCTTTATGTCATGGTCCGAATGGAGCAGGGTTCGAATTGACCAGACACCGTCGAACATGTTCATGCTAAATTCTTTTCAGTCAGTTGAAGAACTATGAAGGATTTCGTGAATTTATATAATATTTTTTTCTAATTGCCAATGTCAAAGCATTGTATTAGTGATTGCATCTAAACTACAACCAAGCCTCTAGTCTGTTAAAATTACGATCGAGTTACGATCGGGCGTGGTATACGGTATACTGGGAAATGGAGGAAATGGAGAAATACAGCAATATTGGTCAATATCATCGGTTTTTAGGATAGAAGTGGTTAGAAGATTGTATAAGTAAAGCTAAGATTTAGAAATTCAATCTTTTTAGTCTTGAAGTATTCGTGTTTATGTAATTTTGTGATTATTTTACCTCCTGTTGTGTTGTTTTACGGTTATCGTTCCGAAATGTTATTCGTCATTCAACGCACCCTTTCTATAGAAATTCATCCGCAACAACCATCACGTTTTTCTTGTGTGAGAATAAAATATAATATTGTTGTTTTGCAATAGAATTAATTGCGGATATAATTGATGCAATTTTATTTTCAAGCTATTATTCATTTTGAGCGTTTTCAAAGAAATTGGTTTATACCTATTGCTATTTTCTATTGCGGATGCATCAACTGACACATTCGGTCGCGTACATATCCGGTCGCGATTTCAACTGGGCGCTTGCTAGATGACGTTCGAGCTCCAAGAGCTCGACGTCATAAAAAGGAAGTGATATTTAGATCTTCCCTTAAATATGTAAATAAGTCTGCAAAAAAAAAAAAAAAAGATTTACAAATTTAAACACTCACGTATACATTAAATAGGATTTCCCCCCTTCATACAACATGCATAATTTTCATTACAATTACCCCATTATGATATCTATGTGATTTCTGAGAGGGTGTACATTATTTCAAGATCATAATGATCAACATGAAAGGGTACTATCACTCATAAATTGACATGATGGGGGGGGGGGGGATAAAACATGATGTGACTAGATATGTTGAAACGCCACAAAAGCTCCTGCAGATAGCCAAAATTTCAAACTGCAAATTGTAAATTGCACATTTTTGGCCAAGATAATAATTAGAAATTGTGAATTTTTAAATCTTTTCCAAGTTCAAGGGGGATAACTCTGTCAAAAATCATTGGAACATGACAAAATTTGAACTTGACCTGTATTTTCTGGTAGAATACCTGCACATGCAATTTCAAACTTATACATACATCCTTACAAAAGTTAGAGAGTGGAAACTGAAAATTTCTTCTTTTCCCTAAGTTCAAGAAGGATAACTCTGTCAAAAATCATCGGACCATGACCAAATTCAATCTTGACCTGCATATCCATATGTCAAGTTTGAGTTGAATTGTGCTACTGTTATCGAGATAATGAACGGAAAGTCAATGGTGACGGAATGACGGAACAGAGTAACACTATTTGCCCACAGCCATTTTATGGTGGGGGCATAAAAATAAAACATCATGAAATCTGAAGATAAGACTGACTGTACTTACCTCAGTCCATTCCCATAGTCCCAGAAATAATATTTTGTATTGATGCTTCTGTAATCCAGCATGGAGTTTTCTCCCCTTCTGATAATTTTGTCCCAAATTACAACCTGGTTTAATTTCTGTAAAAAGTATCAGATGTCTTTTCATATTCATCAATCATAACATTCTTAATTTTATGTTAAATCTTAACTTCTTAAAAGAAATGAAATTATCAAACACTTCAATTTAGACGGATTTTGAATCTCAAGTTAATTTAAAGTCATAAAAATCTGAAAAGCTTATAAGCAGAACTAACACTGCATGATGACTATGTTGTTGATATATCACCCATTTGACTTTCTTGGAAATGATATCAAAATATCAATGTATTATTTTTTAGAACCAATCTATTAAAAATAAGATGTTTTATAATTTAATTTATTATGTGAATGTGATTATGTGATTTATTATGTGAATAATTTTCTCCAGTTTTACAATATAGAGTCATGTTTGCAGCAGACATGAACTATAACCTTATTGATTTGTGAATGTCACACTTTAGGGTATATTTATGGCAATAAACTGTCATTCACATATGACTTTTTTTCAGGAGCCAACAGCATAGTATTTATTTGTTAAACTTAATTTGTTCACATTTTCTATAAATTAACTTTCTCTTACCATGGACAAGAAATGTGCATCTTAAAGCATCATAAATAATGTCCATGATTTTTTTTTGCTTTAATATACATGTATGTTCATTCCACATGTATTTGCAGTAAACACAACTGAATACTTGTCTTTTATTTATCAACAGATACCCATCACCAGCTATTATATTGATACTGAAATTCTCATCAATGGCAGCCAAAATTATACAAGTATACACTCACATGCTCCTGTGTTTCATATTCTGCTGTCAGGTATAAAAATAGTTGCTTAACATTCCAGTTAAATATTTTTGTTAAATCTACTTCTAATTAAGGAATCCAATTTAAGAATCAATATGACATTGTACATTTATTCTATCAACTATCAAATATATTGATAGATCAAGGTAATGTTAAGAAACATTGTATTGATCATTTCAATACTGGTGTAGATATCACACCATTTCATCCTTAACGATACCCAACCCTAATTATTTTTAAGATGTTTAAATCCTCTTGATGTTCATGTCTTTTCAAAAATAATTATTACAGGTGACCTTCACATTATTCAAAAATGTATGTATATAATGATCATTTTTTAAAAGGATATCAGTTGTCATGTCAAACACAACAAAACCTAGATCACTCTTCTCTCTGTTTGCACTGTAGTCAGGAACATTTTTTCTGTAAGTAAGAGTAAGCAAATATTATATGACAATATTAAACAAAAAATACAAAATTTCCTGTGGGTATGAGGGGTTGCAGACAGCTGATCAAATGGCAACTCACAGAAGGATACAATTCACCAAATTAATTCAATTAATTGAAAGTAAAACTCAACAATAAGTCAAAGAAAGACAACTTGTGGTTGACGACAATTCTTCAACATCACTCACATTGAATAATAGTAAAATAAGTAAAACAATGAAATTAAAAAAGGTATGAACACTTTTCATTCTTTTGCAAGTTGTATTTTATCACTTTCACCCAAGACATGACTGAGGATGGGGATATTTCTTTTTTGTTTATTTCTTCTCAAATTAATTTAAGATAAATTAGCATACATATTAAGATATGCATAGGTTTGCAACAGAAAAAAGGTGCTTTGTCAGTTATTAATCTTCCAAGTCTTGTAATCAAGATCCATCTTCTCTGCAAAGAGGAAATTACAAGAAAAAAATTATACTACAGTATCTTCACTTTCTTTATGGGTAGAAAATGGAAGCTATCTAAAATACAATGAGGGCTTGGCACATAATATTTCTTATTGACAAGCTGAATATTGTGCTAAATGAGTTAACTAAAAATTTATAAATTATTTGTTGTTGCTGTTGTTTTTTTTTGTTTTGGTTTTGTTTGGTTAGTTTCGACAACCACTGAATGTCTATTCTATGACGTCTTACCTATGAGTTATCAAATTAATGAATTTTTCTGATTGGTCTTTTGATAAGTTGTCATAACCTGAGTATAAAATATTCAACTTTTAGATTGAACATAACAACTTTTTTGCTTATAGATTCATTTCTTTTAACCTATGTGAAAGTAAACAGGTCTGTTACTCTTATCTCTTACTTCAGTATACACTAATACAGCTTAAAGAACTTAGAAGCTATATACACTGTAAGGCTTTATTTAGCTATTATAAATAAGCTATTCTTTAGACCTCTAATGCTGAACCTACTTAAGATCCATATTCCTTGTTAATTCTTATTTACTTCTGATATAGCCTTGCTAAAATTTTGCTCTACTGCTTACAAAGATTAGAAATTGTTACAACATCACTAAAAGTGAGGAGGAAATACATACACATATGCCACCGGCTTTATGATTTTTTAATACTTACACTATCGCCTTTCCTGTACCAAGGTAGACAGATGTTTTGTGTGAGTTAAATGCTGTTGTAAGAAAACAGCAAAACGTTAATGCTGCCATCACGCTTAGCGTGAAGGCAAATATTGTATTCAATCTGGATAGAAATGTGTTCATTGTAGAGAGATTGAAAGCGGAAGTGTTCGTCAGCAAAAGTCAACTAAAATTCAACCCATCATATTCCGGTTTCTTGTGATATATGTAACAATTATAATTTGGGGGGGGGGGGCTGCAAAACAACCTATTTTATTTCCTTATCTCACATTTTATATCTATGTAATGAAGTTATTTGTGATTTCATTATTTCTGAAACTTCGGGAAAATGTATTCCATTAAAAATATATCACATGATTTCGTAGTTGCATCACATGATCAGGCAATGGCGGCATACATCAAACTAAGTTCTGTTGCTGTTCTAATTTATTGTGCATCTGTTGTCAGCTGTATACTTATAAAGTCGAAAAACATTCAGAAGGAGATTTTTAAATCATACGAAGTGGACTATAATTACAAAACAGAGTATTTCACACAAAAGGTAAATGTTAAGCTTAAATTGCATGTCTGAAGCTTCCTCAACATACTCAACAGCTCTCTATGCTAGTTCACATAATGTTCAGTTGTTTTTCTTTAAGTTTTGAATTTATTTATTTATACAGAAGCATTAGAAAATATGGATGAACAGAAAAATGGTTTGTTACCTTCCAATTCTCAAATTTGATGGAATTTCAGACACTCGGCTAGTAGCTTAATTTTTTTGTTTTGTTTGTTTGGTTTTTTTTTTCCAATTCTCAGATTTGATGGAATTTCAGACACTCGGCTAGTAGCTTAATTTTTTTGTTTTGTTTGTTTGGGTTTTTTTTGTTTTTGTTTTTTTGTTTTTTGTTTGTATGCTTTTTGTACTTGTTAAATATAAAATATGCTTGATATAACTAATGATTAAGTAAAATATAATAAGAAATGACTGTAGAATAGGAAAACTGGGGTCCCGAATGCCACATTAATCAGGTAATGTTGATTTAAGTTCATTTATTCATCAATTGATTTGGGATGTTGAACTGTTTAGCACTTCAGGCATGTATTAATTTGCAGTTATATCTTTGCACAATGAAAATTTTCTTGTTATAGGTTGATCACTTTGGTTTTGTAAACAAAGACACGTACAAGCAAAGATACCTCATAGCAGACCAGTTCTGGAACAAAAATGGAGGACCAATTTTCTTCTACACGGGGAATGAGGGAGACATTACATTGTTCTGCAATAATACAGTAGGTTTATCATGTTTATTGCTGAGTTTGAAGTAGAAGCAGAAATGATAAACCTAACATCTGATCTCTACATTATGCCAGGAACAGAAAGAATATTTTGTTTTAATGATTTTCTGCATCTGTAGTTGATGCCTTTTAAAAAGAAAAATGTCAGTATTTCAAGATTTTACACATCCTTTGGTGATTTTACATTTCATGCATTTTTCAGGGCTTCATGTGGGATATTGCACCAGAATTTAAAGCCATGATCATATTTGCTGAGCACAGATATTATGGTGCATCTGTTCCTTATGGAAAGTCTGCTTTTGAGGTATAATATGTATGAAGAATGTGCATCCCTTAGCAAGGCAAAGAAATTCCTGAAGTCTTCAATTACCATCTTTTTTTTTTTGTTTTTGTTTTGATATTTGTGTTTTATCTGTTAATGTGTCTTGCTGTATATTAATTTGTTTAATCACTAATACCAATACACATATCAGTTTATATAGCAAAATTCTTCTGATTTTATCTGATTTATCTTCATTGTATTCAAGTAGCAAGATTAGTTGTTCTAAATATATGTTGAAAACATTTTATAGATAATAAATGAAAGTGTTTAGTAATAACAATTTATTATAGAATTCCTGTTACTAAAAAGTTGCTGCTATTTATGTTCAATATTTATAGCAGCATAAAAGAATATTGATTTTTTTTCAGGATCCAGCCAAAATGAACTATCTGACATCAGAGCAGGCCCTGGCAGATTACGCTGTTCTCATCCGACACCTGAAGTCTACTATACCAGGGTCTGCGAGCAGCAAAGTCATAGCATTTGGTGGCTCATATGGAGGGATGCTAGCAGCATGGTTTAGAATGAAATATCCAAATGTTGTTCAGGGGTAGGAAAATTAATTTTTGAAAGGAGAACAATTTCATTTCAAGAGCATTCCACTGACATAAAATAATATAAAAAAACAGTGATGTATGCCCTTGTGTGATTGATCTTTAGCCACCTCTGGTCCTACCAGTATATGGACTTTTGTGGCAGGTGCTGACTGTGATTTCATTATTATATACATGTACTAGCATTCCTTGTTTTAAAGGTCTTTAGCTGCATCAGCCCCTATATGGACTTTCTTGGCAGATGCTGAATGTGATATAATTTACAGGGTTGTCTCAAAGACCTGGGAGCCGGGGAATTTCCCCGCCTATAATGACATAATCTCCCGGTTACTTTGGTATCCCTCCTCGATCCCCTGTTAGCAGAGGAACCCCAGATCCCCTTCTACCCTCTTAATATCCCAGTCTTCGAAAAATCCCGGGAGTCCGAAGCCCGGGACCTGGTAAAATTGGAAGTGGGCATGTAGAAATTGCATACTTACAAGCCCGAAGGGCATGTAAATTCTGTGGCCTAAGCCTACGTATTATCAAATCAAATAGTACCAATAACATTAAATGTACTTAAAAGTCTGATTTTTCATCTAAAGTGGAGCACCTAATAAAATTTTAGCGATAGTTTATTCTATCACGATTTCCAAGGAACTCTTTTGCAAAGGAGACACAAAAAGTGTACAGGTTGAAAACAATATTAATGGCGAGACAATAGATCGATAGAAATGGATTTTGGATCATTTCCTTGGCATGAAAAGGCAAATGAGAATAAAATTACTTGATAAAATTACTTGATAAAATTCTGGGCATGTAAATATTTGTTCGGGCTAGCATAATAAGTGGTTAAACCTGCCCGAAGGGCATGTACTGAAAAAAAGATTTGGCGAAGACTGATATCCCCATCTATTTTAATTCTTAGGGACAACCCTGAATATAGCATGTACTAGTATTCCCTTGTTTTATAGGTCTTTAGCTGCGTCGGCCCCTATCTGGACTTTCTTGGCAGATGCTGACTGTGACGCCTTTGATTACACTGTCACTGAGACCTTCAGGAAATCCTCTCAAGCCTGCGTAGATAACTTCAGAGCATTATGGAAAACACTTGACACCTCAGCTTCACAAAGTATATTTAATTCATAATATCAAGTAAATGTGTGTATTTCAAAAAAAAAATATGCATGATTATAAAAAACACAACACTTACTCTCTTCATTGACTTGGTATGTAGGGGATCAACATACATGTATCATTTGTTGACAAGTCATTGAAATTTCAGTAGTCATGTTTTTCTTTTTTTAATTTATATTGACATAAAAGAGTTTGAACTTAAGTGTTACTGGAAATGTAAGTTAATATGTATGTATACCAGTTTTGATATGTCTGTAGTACTCATAAACAATGATTATTTGTATTAATTTTGCTGCAGGTCTCTCAAAACTAACAGAAATGTTCCACCTCTGTAAACCTCTGAAGAGTGTAGAGGAAGTGGGTGCTCTGAAGGGCTGGATACAGTCTGCCCTTGTCTATCTGGCCATGGTGGATTATCCTTATCCATCCAGCTTTCTGGCTCCTCTACCAGCCTGGCCTGTCATGGTATATATCTATTATATACATTTATTGTCTTTATGTCTTGTAAGTTAGAGAAGTCTCTTTAATACATGTATCAAGTTGTCTCCCTGTAATATTTATAACAAGTTGTCTCCCTTTTGCAGACAGCAAAAAAAAAAGTGTTCTGTCTTTATAAATTAGGTGTTTGGGTGAAAATATCTTTACTTAAAATAGTTCTTTAAATAAACTTTCAGGCAGCCTGCCATCCCATGTCTACTCCACTGAGTGGGGACAATTTGATCAGGGGGGCAGTGAAGGCAATGAATGTTTACTTTAACTATACAGGGACCACACCCTGTTTTGATATCACAGGTCAAGCCACACCGAATCTTGGAACCTCAGGTTGGGACTACCAGGTACATGTATTACATTGTAGTCAAATTGTACTTTTGCCTTATATTTTCACCAATTAATAACATAATTGTTACATATTGAAATAAAATATTTGTTGAAGATATTCTTTGTTAGATGATCTCTAGGAAGCTGTGTGTACAAAATTTGGATGTATTTGCAACCATTAATTTCAGTTTTGGTCAAGTTCTTTAAAGTCTTTTTTAAATGGAAGAAATGACCAGATCGACTCTTGAGCATCCATGTTCATGTTTTTAGTTATGAAAGCATTATACTAAATTACTACTTGTTAAAATCTAAAATTGTAGTCTTGCACAGAAATGGTGGCACCTAGTTGCTCCAATGGTAAGACAGACATGTTTGAGAAATCTGCCTGGGACTTCAATGCCTACACAAAGGGTTGTGTCAAAAACTGGAAAGTTAAGCCAGACATTAACTGGTTAGAAACACAATACTGGGGCAAAAACTTGTCTTCCACATCCAACATCATATTTAGGTCAGTAACCAATCAATACAATATTTATGTTTATAGTATTTAAAGTGATAAATAAACCTGTAGTTCTTGCTTACAACCCTTTGTCATGGTATTTTCTTGAGTAACTTTGATAAGGTTGCATGAAAAACATTTATACAGTTTATTTCATTAATCAAGTAAGTCATTTTAATGTATTCAAAGCAGAATGTTATGGCTGAAAATTCTTTGTTAAAAGTTTGCTTCGTTCGTTTTTGGGATAACTTAATAATAATGAAAAAGTAAACAAAAGTAACAGTGTTAAAAGTAGTTTCATGGACAGCTTTTAAACCTTTGTTGGAACTTTATTTTAAAGTAGTGGACAAATTGCCTTCTAAAATGATTATGAACTGTTTATTTTAGCAATGGTTTGTTGGATCCTTGGTCCTCAGGAGGAGTTCTAAAATCTCAGTCAGATTCCGTTGTTGCCATAGTGATCCCTAACGGGGCTCATCATCTCGATCTGAGAGGTTCAAACAAAGCTGATACACCAGACGTTATCTCGGCTCGAAACATGGAAAAAAAGTACATAGCCAGCTGGATCAAATCACCTTAACAGAGCAAAACAAGAGAGTTATCCACCTTTGATCTTCCAATAAATTTGCATAATACCATGCTTAAATATTTAAGTGGAGGACATTACAAGGAAAGATTAAATTATTTTGTTATTATAAATCTCTAGTCTTTACAATATTGAACTATACCTGTATTATGAAACAGTGCATTTCAAGAACGTTTTAGAAAAGCATTTTTAAAGGAATTTTTGTACTAGTAATTTAAACCATACTGTATTGAAGAAAAACATTATTTAAATTCTTCATTACTGCTTGTTATACTGTGAACATTCCATAAATCTATACATAATTCATGGAATGTATACATTTTATCTACTTCAAAGTGATGTACTGCGATTTGTGTATACATAAACTTCATAAATCAGAGACAATATTTTTGCTGCAGATTTTTTTATTTCATTTTATCTTTATTAAATTCAATTTTTATACTACAGTATGAGTTCTTTGTGATTTTAAAGTACATTGGGAACAGCTTCAGGAAGAAAAACTGCCAATAGGGCCAAATATACATGTATACTGGAAGAAAATTAGTCAGTTCGATAATTTAATATATTCAGACTTCATACTTTGCTTTGGCTTTGTAATCCACATAAAGAGAGAATTTTCCGTATCTGTTGGAACAGTGTTGTGTGCTGAAAAACATTGACAGAATTTTCACATAATCCCTGGTATCTCGATCCTAGTGATAAAACATCTTATTTTGAGCTCTGAATAAACGTGCTCTCCATTGAAGAATCCTTTGAGTTTGGACTTAAAGTGTGTATAAAGTGTAAAGTGTGTATAACCATTTGCCAATGAAATTTAGAGGATTTATAGAAGGTGTGTATTACATACTTGGACTGCTTGATAACACAGAAAAGAGAAACATCATATTACATTTAGTAAATATTTACTATGCTACTTCAACCTGATGTTTGTTACATTTGAGCCATGCAGTATGTAGTTCAATTCAATTTATAGTTAGGTCCCTTTATTGCCAAAGCCTTGATCACTTGATTGTGAAACTCAATAACAGTACATGGGATGTTTCTCGGAGACAAAAATGCTGGCCCTCAAATTGCAAAAATGACCTGTTTGAATTTTCCATGAAAATATACACTATTTGCCTTTGACACAGATTCTGACCTAACATATTTGATATGCAGGTGACAATGAATGGCACGATTATAACAGGTTAGTGACATTATTTCAAAATAATCTTGGCCTGTACTGGTAATCTAAAAAATTTCCCATTAGAGAGAGAAGTCCAACAAGAAACCATTCTTTTTTTATGATTTATTTCATCAGTTCTTGCAAATTTCAAAATTATGTATCAAATATTTTTAAACACATTTTTAAAAAAATATCACTAATTATGCTTCATAAAAATGTTACTTCAAAAGCATTTTGTAGATAGTGTTCTAACAAATGCAATATGTAGCAAAGTGAAATTAGTCAAACTAAAGTTAAAATACTTATTGTAAAAGTGGAATACATGTACATTGCGATGGTTTTAATTTTACTGTGTTCACAATCAAAGAATTTTCCGCAAACATTAAGCCTTCGTGAATATTATCAAAATATCTATGTAGAATTTATACATTGTATATCAAATACAAGTACATCGCATACACAAGAAAAACTATTCATTATCAATAAAATTCTTAGGAATTGATAATCATTTACAAACACGGCCAGGCCAATAACAACAGATGTTTAAAGTTAGTTTCCTAAAATATAAACAATTCACGATTTCTTTTGTTTTCCAAATTTTTTAAATACAAATACCTTATTATTTTAATGAGGCATTTAGTGTCCGCAAAATTAAAACCATCATGAAATGTACCAAGATATAAAATCGCGTATATTGAACACGTTAAAGACATTTACAGTATCTGATAAGAGATAAAGTTTTTTTTTATATCAATAAAATATATTGCTATTATTTAAAATTTCACATATAAATGTTTGTTTTTCTACAGATATAATACAGATATTGTTCACTAACCAGTCAAGATCAACTAGGCATAATAATATCATATAAAACCAGTTGAACACAGTTTTGTCATATCTTTCAAAGAAAGTTCATAATGGAAAGTCAGAATAAATAAAATCCAGAGAATAAACAAGTTTGATGAGTGAACTTTCTACTGGAATTTTTTATGGTATAATTACTACTGGAATATTTGATGGCATATTGTCATGTAAACAAAACGAAGGTGATGCATTTAAATAAATGACCTAGACTAGACTTTAATTCAGGTTTGACTTCCTACTCTGTCCCTGGGTATTAAACGCAATTCAGATCCATGTTTTAAGAAAACATTTCCTGCAAAATAAAGAATAACAGAATGAATACTAAGTACAAGTACACTGAGAATAAATGTTTAATTTTCATAGTACAGCAGAATTTGATATGTAAAGCTAAATTTAAAAAAAATCTTCAAAATGAATAATAGTGATTTCTGCTTTTCACCTTTTTATATAATGGTAGGCTAAATCTGTGTAAAATGATCATAGAACAAAACGATAGCAAAGAAAATTACATATAAATCCATAACTTTATATAGGACTGGTCTTTTTGAGCAAATTGTTTTAAATCTTGGTCAATACGTTAAAAATAACTGGCTCTTTATAATTTTGGACAATAAGACACTTACCTGCACTTTGGGCTGGGTTGATTCCTATTCCATCATTAGTAATGATGGCACTAGTGGCAGGAGGTACCTTAAACTGAAAACATTAACAATACTTTTAAATATATATAATTACTCAAATTCAAATTGAAAATATTAACAGCACTTTAATAAATAATTACTCAAATTAAATTGAAAATATTTCAATGCATCTGCAGCAAGAATATCTGCACTGAATATCAAATATATCAAATATATCAAATATTAAAACTAATATACATAAAATATTAGAAGTATTTAAAAAAATAAATTTCCAGAGTTCAGGAGTGTGTAGTAATGTGACTGTAATGAGAATTACTTTGTGCTTTATTTCTAACATTTCTGAGGAATTTGTATGGAATATTATTATTTACTTGATATAGGATAATTGCTATAAATTTAAATTCCATATTTATCACAAGACAATGAACTTTATATGTGAAATATGTGTAAAATATGCAGATATTACCATTATTTCTCACTAAAAAAATGTAAGGATAAAAAAAATAATAAAATCTGCATTTACTGTCTTATGAAAAAATGTGTGAAATGCAAAAAGGCTTTTGTTTGGAATAACATCTTCTGCAAAAAGTGTCATATTACATATTAAAGCTATGGAATTCAAATATGACACACTTAATTAAAAAATATTTTCTGGTAATAAAAACTGCATTTCAAATATGTGAGGTTTTAGTTACTGCTATCTTCTTTTCCCTGGCAAAATAAATGTCAATGATTTTTCTCCGATACTTCATAAAAACCCGAAACCTTGGCATAACTGGTATAGAGCCTACCTCTTCTGCTGCGAACTTCAGCACTGCAGTGAATGGGGTTTGTTCAGGTACACTTAACCTGAGATGAAAGGAAATATAAATTTCATCAAGTAGTCTATAGACTGGCTTGTAACATAAATATTCCATTCACAACTTAAACCATCCAATTTCAGAAAGGGTGTAGCACTTGGGCTTTGTTTACAGAATGCATTGTCTAAGATCTGTATATTTATTCCAAAAGTGGGGCGTGTTAAATAAGGTTACCGTAGAGTTAATTATACTTGTATTGAATATGGTGACTTCAATAGAAATAGTGAAAACCCACTTAAATGTGTAATAGTGCTGGAACCATAAGATCTCTGGTACCTGTTTTATTGTACGGAGTTTTTAAGAGGAGGACATGGAAATTGTAAAAGTGTCAAAACTATCCCTCAAAATATTAATTGGAATTTAACATTAACTTACTAATAGTAACATTAACTTACTAATGTGTTTACTTTCAAAAGTTCAAAAATCAATTGCAAAATATTTTGCTTTAAAACTGGACTTAGGATTGATTTTTTTTTCACTGGTACTTATTTATCATTAAAATTTTCAAGGAAATTAATCTGTTTGAAATAAACATACGTGACTTTAGTTAGAATGAAGAATTTGCTTCCGTCTTCAGAACACATACAATGGTTTTTACATCATTCATTTTGATATGTCTTCAAGATTCTTTTGAAAAAATTCTAAGTTTACAACAGGAACTATAACAAAGACAGAGTAAAACTGCAGTCAGATGACACTACTTTAAGCTAAATGGGGGGGGGGGGATGCTAGACCACTTGCCAATTTCTATGTATTGGAAAGAAATAAAGGAACAGTTGGGATAAAAATATAAATAATGTATTTCAGTTTTTTGAAAGTTGATTGAGGTGAAAAGTAGAGCTAAGGAGTTGTGATTTCTTGCAATGTAGCAGTAATGTGTTCCTCACAGTAATTCATATTGGTACTTATTTGTGGCACAAAATGTATGGCAGAATCATGCAAATGAAATTTATTCTTTTAAATTAAATCATGATGGTAATTCTACTGATTCCAATAAACTAAAGAAAAAATACATATCTATACATAAATAAGCCCTTTTAGAAAAAAAAATGTAGTCAAGCAATTTGTGTTTATGTTGATAATTTGATATATTCAATTTAGCCCTTATCTCCAATCCTGACTTTATTAAACCCAAGTGTTTTAACATTGTCACAGGTGATGTTTCTGATTGTTTAAAGATAAACCATGCAGGTATAACACAGCAGTCAATGTACCTATCAATTATACACTGTGTTTTTATTACAGGTATTACATTTTTGCAAATTTGACAACCCCCCCCCCCCCAAAAAAAAAAAAAAACAATAACAACAAAATTGGCACTCCCTAAATCCAAAGTAAATCTGCCACTTTATTATATAGTATGACTTTAGAAAAAATTGCGCTCTGGGAGAGGTACTAATTCATGGCAAACAAGAATTAAGGCAAATGGTAGGGGGGAGAGTATTAAGGTGAAGGAACAAAGATTCCTATCTTAAGCATAACTGGCATACTTATAACAAGGATGATTTTTACCATGTGTGACCCTGTCTAGTCTACCCTTCATATAAACAAAGCCAAAACTCTTCCCGGGAAGTAAAATTCTTCACAAAAATTTAAATTAAAAACATGGGGATTGTTCTGTAAATTCAGCATGAAAGCTGCAATCGAAAACTTTGAACATAAATTTCATGATGGAACCAGAATGCAAGAATAAAAAAGAGAAGCAAATTGCTATGTATACTTAAATAGGAAAGGTTGCATATTGCACTATATGCTTTTAGTGTGTGTATGTCTGTGTGTGTGTGTGTGACTATGAAAAAAAAAGAAGATTATAATGTCAAAAATGGAAAGAGGACTGGACAGAAAAGGAAAAAAAAATGAATGGTAACAGCTATCACTTCCCCGATTTCTATTTTTTAACCAACATTTGTCAAACTGAGATAGTTGACAGAAAATTCTATTATTATTTATAACACTATAAAGTTTCTTCATGTTTCTAAAAGAGTAATGAACAGCTGTTAACTGATCAAGATGTCCACTCACACTTTGTATGGTAATTTTGGATCCGAAGTCAGAATTATCTTGAACGTAACCTTTGACCTGCAAATACAAGTAAGAAATTATGATTGACTTGATAATTATCCCTTTAATATACAAGCACTTCACAAAATACACACAATAACTCTACTTACATGTTTTCTGTGTATAAACCGGTGACACGCAATACCGGAAGTGGAAGAATTCCCAACCCCCTATTATGAATGCGCCATCTACCGAGGAAAGCCTTTCCTATTTAAAGCAATAGATCATGTGACTTGAAAGAGAGATAGAGGGGAGATTCTCTTATCACATTTCGAACTTTAAAGGCAAAATGGAGTTAACCAGATTTCTACTTGTGTTTACTTTATGTTTAATTTCAAGGACCATCGCTTTTGAAACAAAAAAATTATCTCAGCCACTTAAACAAGACATTTTAAAGCTGAAGGAGCCGGTGAGGGAACCGAGTGAAGCCAGAATAAGACATGCAGACGAAGAGGAGGATGAATTTGGTAATTATAATAAGTATAACGCTGGCTGTTACATTCACTAAAAGAGGGGGGGTGTTAATTTTTCTTTATCCTTAAACAGAAGAAAATCGTTTGAAATCGCATTCCCATTCAAAGAAATGCGGCAAAGCAATATTTATTTATTTTTGATAGATGAAAGATGTGCATAAAAAGATATAAGGATTATTAGATTTAAAATTTAAAAAAAAAAAAGATTAATTAAAGTGAATGAAAGTATTGAGTATAATTATTAAATTGAAGTTTACAGTTATTTGAATGATATAAAAATTTGTAAATTAAATGAATTCCATTGAAAAGATGTATCAATAAATTGTCAAAACGCATTCTATTTGAAAATTGTTATGCAAGTTTTCCATAATAAATTTCGGTGTAAAGACTTGTGTAATTGATAAAAAAAAAAAAAAATGATAACGTCTTGACTGATTTAAATAGAACTGGCGTAATTCTTCAGTGAACTGACAACAAGAGATTGTCTTAAATATTTAAGGGGAAAAATCAAAATATTAGTAAATATACGTCACGTTTTCACAAATGTAAACTTTCTAGCGGTGTGAATGCACTAATTATTTGCTCAATATCAGAATATATAGCGGTGTAAGTCGGAGACATTCGTACTGCACGTTAATCTTCTGAGCTACTGATAGCGACTCGACACACTGGGTCAACGGGTATCTCAAATCGTACGCAGGTTATAGATATGAAATTTTACCAGCTTCGTGCATTTCATTCCTTGCTATGCATTTATTTCACTGCTAAAATACTGCTTAGTCATTATTCTTAAGGACTTCGATCTATCATTCAATACATGTAAAAGTAGACAAAGGGGGAAAAATAGAAAGCACGTTAATTAACTACAGTATTGTCAATTCACAGGCGACCATTTGAGACATCTCTTATTTTTCCGCCAGTATTCTGTTGCTAATTCTTTCCCATTAAATGTCAAAATAAATAAGTTAAAAGGAGGTGAGTTTTTGGATGGCACTCGGATGTATTGTAGTTGCAGACCTGAGAAGTGCTGGGTCATGCCGGGTTTTGGGCACTGACGATGTGAAGCCGTGCCTGGAGTTCGCTGTCTCTATTTGCGACAGGACGGGTATCGAATTGCCAATCCATTGTCACGAATAACCCTTGCGGACTTCGTTATTCAGAAAAATAAAATCTTCGATGGATTCATATGTCCCTCTTTAATTATTCTTAAAATATCATTACTCTTAATTAAAAGGTATTTTTTATTTGTTTTATAGCTTTGTTAATTTTTTCTTTTGGTCACACGTTTGTAGGTATAATGGGGTGGAGGGAGTTGAAGGGACCCCAGCATGAGTATTTTGTTTTTGACCAGATTGAAAAAAATGCCGCATTTAGTCCTTAATAAGCTTATCACACCAGATGTCTCTTTCTCACGCTAGCTGCTGTCATTGTACCATAAGCACGATTAAATCGAGATAGGTGGACAAAAAATTCTTGACATATTTAGGATACTGTCCCGAAGCTTAAGACCAAAAATTATAGAATGTTTTGTTTTCAAAACAATATATATATGATCTATGACATTCGCCAAATTTAATCCATTGAAAAACATATACTAAATAAATTAAATAAGATAAGTAGAATAGTAATTTTCATGCAATTTTACTTTGAAATCTTATGTTTTCGATCAATAGGTTCACAATGGTCATTAACGCCAAATTTACCGATAAGAAAACATTTGAAATTTATTGAAATTTGTTTTTTCGACTGAACTAATATATATAAAAAACTTTTAATATACCACTAAAACGATAATAAACTCCCCAAGATATGGCTATTTTCAAATCTTAATAGGAAGGTAAATGTGATTGATTTCTTTGACATATGGGTGGTATTCCCTTTCATCAATTATTTAAACTTCTCACACTTCAAGAAATTCTTTAAACACATAATTTGCTTTACGACAAAGTAACATACAGCACTTGTATTAGAGAGACGGTGACGGGATAATGGATTAATGCGATTTATGTGCTTAATTTGGACAAGCGGACAGAACATGCTATCTCCGAGGTCCCCAGTTTCTAAAGAAAACCCCAGGCAGTCCTTTCATGGAATGAAATTTGTTGGGTATAAATGCATCGGAGGGAATCTAAATTGTGCTTGCTGTTAAAATGCAGATTTGAGGAATGTTACCACAAGATTTATAATCCAAGAAATTTTGGGGTTTTTTTTAGTAGAATGAATTTATCACCTGAAAATGTTTATGCACAGTTTTATAAATATTATATTTATCATTGTAAACGATCACTTCAGGTCTTTGAAATCTTGTTTAAAAAACACATTCAAGATTCTCCAGCTTTAGTTCAAGTGACCCTGTTCAGTGGGTGAGAATGCTTAATTGGAATCTCTGACAGAGAGTAATGGCGGGGTGTAGATCGAGTTCCCCCGTCCTTATCACCGAGTGTTTGCACTAGCCGTTCGTGCCCCTTGCACGCTGCATTGTAACAAGTGATCACTGACTCAGTTATTGTTTCTTGTAGATAAATAAACAGATTGAACCTGAAAGCTAATATTTTGTTTGTTCAGCGAAATGATCTCCTGTCTTAAAGAGTCTCGGCCGCGGTACCAGGTACCCAACTGTCGCGATAAAAAAGATCGTCTCACCCAAAGTCTGGCATCGCGGTACCGATGATCCGCAATCATTGCCGAGATTTACACTGATCTCGTATCGAATTAACAAATTTCTCAACCTGTAACATCTCTTAAGTGTGATTACCCTAGATCTTGTCAGATTGAAATTATTTATGAGGAAACTATTATGCCATTTAAAATTTTATTTATGCATGTGTGTATTACTGTGTGAATGACGACAATTTAAATACATGGTTAATACTTTAAGGCAATGTGAAGTTGTGGAAGATTAAAACTAAGACATGTGAACTATCTTTACGAATTCATCTCAATTTAGGGGACCATGAGGCAAGCGAACTTCAAAAATTAAAGTGCATGTGTAATTGGCTAATAATTTTAAATATACATAGACCATCGTAAAAATAATGATTGTTCGTACTCAGGATTAAAAAAAAAGAATTGGGTCGGGAGATATATTGGTAGGTAGGTAATTTTTTTAAAGAAATTTTAAAGATCAAATGCTGAATTTTCAAAATTTATTGAAAATGAAGGTATTAATGAAATTAAAATAGTTATTGACTGGATCAAAAAATTCCGGAATGAATAACTAAAAATTAAATAAATAAATTTCATTGTTGTTTACATTTATGATAAGCATTTGCAAAGTGAAACACGTGACTGATCTTACAAGAGAAGGGAATAATTTTGTCAGAAAAATATCTTTATGTAAAGTTAGTGAATGTCGAAACAAAACAGAGGTTCTATGCATTACAGACTCCCGGTATTTTCCCCTTCTCACACCTGTAATTTCAAGAATTTACATAAAACACGGGGGTCTCTATGAACTTTAAGGGATATTTCTCATTTCAGAATCATTTCACAAAGTTTTATGTTCAAATTATGTAAATTGAATCTCAATTATGATCTGATATTCCCACTATTAAATTTTAAAGCTCAGAAAATATGTACTTTAGCACTTGATGTCCTGTAATTTTAAGTGTCGTCTTTTTGACTATGAAAAACATCTTCAATGTTTTCCGAGTTACTGTAAGGTATTTAACTAACTTAATAAACCCTGGCACTTTTATCGAATGTCTTTCTGTTTTGTTCAGTTTGATTTTTTTATATGCCTCACTGTATAGAAGTGTAAAGGAAATACGTTGAACTTTCACTTGAGTTTTGGAAACTGAGTCATTACTACTGAATCTCAATTAACATTACAATACTTCTTACAGGTCATTTGATATAGATAACTGATAAAAAAAAATACATTGATGTTTACATTGTAGTTAAAACAAATACAAACAAACAAACAAAAGTAAAAAAGAAGAAGAAAAAAAATACAAACTTGCATGTAATATATACAAGTAATTTAAAGATATAGCCCTTTGATTTTTTAAAGGTTGTAAACATTTTAATCGTGAGCCAATGTTTACCCTCATGTTTTTAGTTTCGCTATCAATTTACTATATGAACTTATTAGTGTAATATTAAGATGTTAATAAATCAATGAGATTTCTATCTTCTATCGTCTGAAACGGCGTAAATCTACATGAGTTGGCCGGGGTTTTATTTTGATTGGAAATTTAAAACGAAAACCGCAGCTTGTCATTGTATCTGAAATAACTCTAAAATTGGCTTATTCAGACATAAAATGTGGCGATCTACCCACTGTCCATTGCGGTCACTACACGGGCACTGGCCATGAGATGGGACAGACATGGCACTTACAATGTGACCCCGGATGTTACTTAGTCGGATCAGGGGAAATAACCTGTTTAGGTGTTCCGGACCCCTTTCACCATGTGGCAATATGGGATCATATGCAAGGAATGTCCAAATGCGAGAAAAGTAAAATTTATTTCTGTTTAATTTCAATATTTAAAGTCTTCTGACTGGTTGTTAAGAATATATAAAAATTGTGAACATGAGTGAAATATGTTAATCGATCATAATGACACTTCAAGCATGTTGTGGCGTCCCAACTCCACCTGCGCATGGTTACATTGTTGGAACCAACTTTCACCTGTATCAAAATGTGACAGTTAAATGCGACAAAGGTTACACTCTAAACGGAAGTGACGTTCTCCAGTGCTTACCCGTTCCCAATCCTAAGGCTTGTGGCATGTGGGTATACGTTACCCAGTGGACTGATTCATATTGCGTTCCTAGTACGTGGTACACGATAGGGAAACATATAAGGATGTGAAAACGAATAAAATTATTTATATATATCCTGAAAACTCTCTCTCCCTTCTTCAGTAGGTAGCATCCTCTCTGCATGCCTCAGGGAATTCCCATCCTCTATTAGATATCAATTTAGCTAGTGTATAAAACTGTATTGAAGCAAACTGCCTTTGAATATTTTTGTTCTTGAAAAAAGTGAAAAAGTTATAATATTCGGTGTGAGGAAGTAATCCTTTGTCAACCCTATATAAGAAAGATCCCAATCTTTTTCAGATCCAATCGACACAAGACATGATCCCCAGTATCTTGTGAGTTCTGGAGGCGTAAAGGAAACACCAGGTATATTTAAATACGACTATCATTATATTTAGATACTGTCATATGGCCGTTTTCTAAGAATTTAACTCCTTTAATTATTGACAATTACCATTTCGGCATAAAGTCAAGAAAAAAAATCTTTTAAAGAAATTGTATTTTTGCTAGAATTGAATAATAGTTAACATTTATCTCTTAGAAAATTATTTTTATTTCTTGTATTATGATCTAAGTTCTTTTATCCGGATTAAACTATTGATCAAATGGAAAAGAAACTCTGGCTTTTTGTTCTTGAATCAGGATATCCTGTTTCAACTAGCTTGTCTAAATCTGAACGAAATAGAAAAAGAAAAATGACCCACTGCTTACAAAAGATGAAATTTTACTATAATGATGACAAATTCCTAAAGTTAAAGAAAGATTTTAAAAAAAATGATATTAAAGCAAATTTAAAAATCAAAATGGAGAATCTAAGACAAGCCTTTGTTGAAGATGAACAATTTATATAAAGGAAACAATCATTTTTGAGTAATCTCTCATACAGCAGAGACTCGTACATGAACTATGTTAAGGAAGAGGAAGAGCTGGCACAAAATTCATATTCAGGACACAAAAAGATGTATAGATGTTTAAAGTGTTAAATCAGCAACGTACACTATATAGCTAAATCTAGGCCAAAAGAAACATGTCGCATAAAATCTGAATATAAAGTACATGTGTATTTAAACTTTTTTGGAAGCACGAATACTCAAAAATAGCAATTGTTTTAAGCAAAACAGAAATTTCAGTTGGATTTACAAGTATGCAATTATATAGAAACCCGATTTAAACCATTCAAAACTAAATTTACATGTTTAACGAAACCTAAATGAATGTCTTTGGTATTTGCTTTGTTATTAAGAATAAGAAGGATTATGGCTTATTATATAATATATCGCTTATATTCGCGAAACACCTCTGGTGGAGTGAGTAGTATTTTATTAAAGAAGCTGCTTTCAGTAGCAGCTGGTACATGTACATTCCCTCATCTTACAAGAAGACAATAAACAAGAAAAAATATAGAGTAACCGGTAATTCTCCGACTTTATAGACAAAAAATGTAAGGCTTTGTATAGATTATTAAAAGATCTAGTGATCTAAAGAGAGCTAGGAAGAGGATAAATAAGTTATATGCTGTATCAACACGACTGATCGTCAAATTCTGAGCCCCTCAGAGAGCGTTGCAAGTAGCTAAGTCCGCGAGCAAAATTGGAAATACGCAGCTTACGTCATTTCCATCTGTTACAATCAAAACATTTAATGATAGACAATGGAATGGGCGGGTAGAATTCGGCACGGACGTCTGAGAAAACATAGGATTGAAATTCTAGTTTGAAAATCATTTTCAATCCACCTCAACTACTCTAGAAGGCAATGAGTTACTGATTGACCCAGAAGACAAAAAATTTCAATTTCTGTATATTTTGAAGTTATATAAATCAGATTTTCTGACCAATGTTTTTTAAAAAATGTAAAGGGACACATATTGATTTCTGTTAGGTGTGTGCAAGCATGTGTTGGGAGTTGGGGGTTGGACGGGGGTGGGGGGGGGGGGTGGAGGGGGCTGAACGATATAAAAAAGAAAGCTTTTTTTTTTTTTAGTTTGGACAACCCCTCCCTTTTCATGAGTGTCAAACATTTTTCAGTGAAGACAAAACTAAAGAAAATACCTCTTGTCATCCTAGAAATAAATATATTTTGTAATATGAAGGCATGATCTGACTCGACAATTTTTAAACCCCCCCCCTTTCTAGAATCATATAAATAGCCATCCCCTGAAGAAATAATATCTGTCTTCTATGACTTTAACGTGTCCTTAAAATTATAGGCTAAAACCTCATATAAAGAATGATAAATATGAAGTTCAAACAACATGTATTTGGGAATTGAAATTATTTGTCTTTTGGATCATACATTCACACTCTGCGTTTGAAAACAGCTCAGGTGGATTGAAAATGAATTTCAACTCTGCGTTTGAAAACAGCTCAGGTGGATTGAAAATGAATTTCAAACTAGAATTTCAATCCAATGTTTTCTCGGACGTCCGTGCCGAATTGTACCCGCCCATTTCATTGTCTATCATTAAATGTTTTGACTGTAACAGATGGAAATGACGTAAGCTGTATATTTCCAATTTTGCCAGTTCCGCGGTCTTAATAGTCATGTTTGCGTAGAGTGAAGGAAACAGATTCTTGTACATAACTTGTGCAAGTTACATGTATAAATTTGTAACACTTGCAGGCAATAAATTTTAATGTATGAATGTTATTGTCCATGTCACACTACAGTGTCATGAGTATGAGCCAAAAGTCATACAAAAGACCTGGTGTGTGTACAGTGAAAGTAGTCATGAATGTGAAAGGTTAAATACCAGACTTTTGTTCAAATGAGCTTAAACAAAACATTGTTGCCGAAGATTCACAATGTAACTCTCACTGATAAGATGATGAAATAGTGCCCGGAAAGAAGAGAATATTACAAATTAATATTTTATGACTATAGAACCTTTACAAGCACTATAATGGTCTAAGCGTTATCACAAAGACTGTTAGATTACGCTTCCTTATAAGGAACGTTAAGAAATCCAAAATTCTTGCTTTATATACGATTTTTTAACATTTTGCGTGTTGTCCCGAGTGGTAAACTCTTCTAATACCAGAAGATATATGTAGGTAGAGCACCGTTTAAGGTGGAACAACCCTCTGGTAAGAGAGAGAACAAGTACCCAGAAGACCATTGTAGTTAATTCATTCAAAACCCATATACTATAGTATAAATACATGCAAACATTGATATTTTTTCTTTTGTAAGTAAAATAACATTTGACCTAAAACACTTGTGCCTATTTCATTTAACTCTTACAAATTGGAATATTTCTACCTTTTTATAGACAATTTTAAAACTTAAGTAATTTATTTTGTACCATATGTAGATTTTCAGTATTTTTCTGCAACAAAAATATTTTAAAGAAAGATAAAACCTTGCTGATGAATGCATTTTTGTGTACAAGTACAGATAACAAAGTAATATTCCCCCATAAAAAGCAGTGCTTCATTATGTTTTCTAATATGAATTTGAATATGTATGATACTGAATATTATTTTCGTATAAATGTACACTGTGTATACCTCTTATATTTTTAATTTTATGTTGTGATAAAAAAAATCATTGCTCTTTCTAGACACGATGTCAAATTTTTCTTCATAACATGGTTAGAACATTAAAAACATTTCTGAAAAATTAAAGCGCTTCATGCTTCATCCTATTGTCCATTTGTATCTATTGTTGTTGCTGAAAATCAGTTTTGGAAATTAAAAAGAAATGGTGAAATAAAAAGCACCTTAAATATTTCTCTTCTGTAAATCACTTGGCTATATTTCTATCTAAGAAAAGGTATTTCTGTAATTTAAAACTTAGAACGGTCATTTTCTTTGCTTCTGTTTGAACAATTTGAATTTATTTTTCATGTTTTTTAATATTTAGAATAAAAGCCATAGGCACTCCCCAGCTTAATTGTTAAAAAATATATATCTACTATAGTAGATATACATTTTTTAACAATTAAAGTGGGGAGTGCCTATGATAAAAGCAAGATTGATTAAAATGATTACTTCTTTTTTTTTGGAAGTATTGGAAACCGAATCGGAAGACAGCGTCTGTTTACAACCGAAGAAAACAGGCCCCTGTAAGGCAAGGATGGAACGATACTACTACAATGTCAAGAACAAGGAGTGCGAAAAGTTCATTTATGGCGGATGTCAGCGAAATGACAACAATTTCAAAACTCTGGAGGAGTGCGAAGATAAATGTAAAAACTGAAACGGCGATCTGGATTATTAAAATGTTCTCTCTCACTGTACTTTTTCATTTGAAAATTGGACGATTTATACAATACCCTCAACTGGGGTTCACAACTGCATTAAGTATGACGATTTTCATAAAATTGAGGAAGACACATTTTTAAAAACAAACTTTCTGATAAGATGTGAGATTTTCCTTTTGAATTTCCTAAATTAATATACAGAAAAGCTTATTTTAACTTGTCCATTTTTTCCTATTTTCATTAGAAATATATACAATGACTTATCTTATTACAAAAAAAACCTCCAAAATTTCTTATACTGGGTGAGGCAATACTAGCAATGCATTTGATATTAGTTTTGAATTGTAATTTGAAGTAGAATTTGCTACAAGATTACAAATAGTAAGGAGGTATACATACGTTAATTTTGAAACGATTGTACGATATATATGGGTTTGTTAATTCCTCGATTGTAAAAGTTGTTCGACATTCACGCAAGCGCACGACCTCTTTCCTGGCATTTCCTGTTGTCTTCTTGCACCTGATTAGCAGACGACAAAACACAGCGAATGGTCAGTAAATGACTTCCACTTTGTGGACTTATTTTGTTGTTCATAGTTTATGTTGTTGAAGCCTTTGTTATGTAACTTATGAAATAAATATCGACACCTAAAACTGAGGGTGTTACATTTTTTCACCAGTTTGTTGTTTTTAGTTTGTTTGTGTTTGATCTGGCCCTAAAGCCATAAACTGAGAACAACTTTTAGTCAAAAATTCAAATCAATATAATTTTTTTTTACTTTTGATAATGAAATAAAATTTTCTACTTATGTATAAATTTGTATATTTTACAAACTTGCAAATATTTATGCATGTATGTTGAATAGAACTCAAGATATTCAAAATCATTTGACTCAAGTCTGTCCTCAGTTTATGGCCTTCAGGCCTGTTCTCAGTTTATGGCCTTCAGGCCTGTTCTCAGTTTATGGCCTTCAGGCCTGTTCTCAGTTTATGATCTTGAAGCCTGAAGTACTGCTACGGAAGTAAAACTCTCTCAGGTAATATGCATCTCCAGCATCTGGTTTAGTTGTGTGCAATTACTAGTATAGAATAAACTGTGTATTTGACTATTGAATCAATCAACTATTTTTTCAAAACAGTATAGTTTCAAGGATTGATGTATACTGTATGAGTATTACTTTGTCAGTGATACTCGTGTAAAGTCACATGCAATATGTACTGAGGAAAATGGTTATCATTCGACAAATAAACAAATAAAAAGCAGAAGAAAGAAATTTAGAGATTTAGAATCAGTATAGATGAAATAAAACAGATTTGAAGAGGGAAAAAAAATTGAAAATGCTGCCAAATTGTCTAATATTTGTCACTGATATTTATGGTGTGTTTATTTATAGAATCTGTATCTGTATTGTTTGACATTGATTGGATTTTTAAACCTGAATCCACCTTATAGTGACTTATAGTTGCGATTTTCTGTATCTTATTAAATCAAACTTCAAAATCAAATCAAAATGGATAAACAAATCATCAGAAGGAAATTTTTTAAAATAAATTACAGGCGACTTTACACACCATGCTGCAATCTCATTCTGATGAAAAGTGTTTATCTGGAAAAAGTATGCAACACATACTATAACAATTTATAGATGAGTCCAGGTCGCAAAGGTGAAGAAAACAAACAGTGACCAACCTCACGAATCTTATAAACCATAGAAATCGATCTGCTTAAAAATATACAATATATTTTTTACAGGTCTCTAAATATAGATAACCAATAAAAATACAAAAATATTGATAATTTACATCGTAACTAAAAGCAAAACTACGGAAGCCGGTAAGTGTCAGGTAGAAAATATTTTATCTGGCGGCCGCCACATAAATAACTGGCGGCCGCCAGATAAAAATATAATTAAGATAAAAAGATAATTATCTGACGACCGCCAGAAAATTATATGGCGGCCGCCAGAAAACTTTCTGGCGGCAGCCAGATAAGTTATCTGGCGGCCGCCAGATAAGTTTCTGGCGGTCGCCAGTTATTTATGTGGCGGCCACCAGATAAAATATTTTTTCTACCTGGCACCAACCGGCTTCCGTACAAAACAAATCCAAAGAAAAAAAGAAACGAAAACAATCAAACAACCCTAAACAAACAAAAAAGCTAGATCAACAAACCTATCCCCCCCCCCCCCCCACACACACACCCATTCACACAGACAAACCAGAAAAATCCCATGTAATGTTAAAGCATAAAGATTTATTTATGTCCCTTTGGTTCAGTCTTGTGGCAATGTTTACCTACTTGGTTGTGGTTTCGTTATCAGTTCACTCTTAACTTTGAAGTTTAATATCTAGATGTTAATACAATGTGGTAAAACAATTTGACTTCTGTCTTCAACTGTTATATCGTATGGAACGTAATAAATATACATGAGTTGTTTAAAGTATTTTATATTTGTGTGGGGAAATTTAAAAAACCAAAGAACATGTAAGTTTCTTTCAAAAGCTTATTCCTGGATCTGAAATAATTCTAAATTGGCTTATTCAGACATAAAATGTGGCGATCTACCCACTGTCCACTGTGGTCACTACACGGGCACGGGCCATGAGATGGGACAGACATGGCACTTACAATGTGACCCCGGATGTTACTTAGTCGGATCAGGGGAAATAACCTGTTTAGGTGTTCCGGACCCTTTTCACCATGTGGCAATATGGGATCATATTCGAGGAATATCCAAATGCGAAAAAAGTAAGATTCACCTCTATTTTAATAATTAAAGTCTTCTGACTGATTGTTCAGGAAATAAATTCCATAAATTTTGAACATGAGTGAAATATGTTAATAAATCATAATGAAACTTCAAGCATGTTGTGGCGTCCCAACTCCACCTGCGCATGGCTACATCGTGGGAAACAATTTCAACCTGTATCAAAATGTGACTATTAAATGCGACAAAGGTTACACTCTAAACGGAAGTGACGTTCTTCAGTGCTTACCCGTTCCCAATCCAAAGGCTTGCGGCGCGTGGGTAGGGACGGATTCACACTGTGTTCCTAGTACGTGGTAAAAGATGATATAAGTAAATGTTTTGAAAGTGGTAAAGGGAATTAAGACATCAACCTACCTATGGTCCTAAAAACCTTTTTCTTCCAATGTGAAGTATCCTCTTTCCTCTTTGCCTCGGAGATTTGTATTTCTATCATTTATTAAGGAGAATTTGACTAGAGTATAAAATACTAGTAGTATTAAATAGCCTGTCACTGAATATCTTTCTCGGGGGGGGGGGGGGGTTGAAAAAGTTATATATCAATCTAAGGAAGTCACCCTTTGTCAACCTTTTGTACGAAAGATCCCAATCTTTTTCAGATCCAATCGACACAAGACGTGATCCCCAGTATCTTGTGAGTTCTGGAGGCGTAAAGGAAACACCAGGTATATATTTGGATACGACTATCCTTATATTTAGATACTGTCACATAATACATTAGACAGGACCATTTTCTGAGAATTTTATCTCTAGTTACCCTTTAAGGTTTTGGCTATAGAGAAATCACACACAATCGCAAACATGTAGTAAGTGTCACGTGGTCAAGCTGGCTATCTCCAAAAAATCACACAAATTCAACTAAATTTTAATAAATTTATTTACAAAAAAAAAAAATAATAATAATAATAATAAAGAAGATTTCAAACAGACAACCACACTCTGATCCACACACTCTTCCACACTATTAAACAAAAAAAAAAATAATAGCAATTGGTAACCAATAATCAGACAATTAACCAATTAACCCCGGGTATAGATTTCACTCAAAGTATCATTGCCAAACATGTTCACAGATCAATGATTATCCTTGTCATAATCATCAACATCATCTTCGTCAACATCATCATCCTCATCCTCGATGCAGGAATGAAATCATTAGGTTTGCCATTTCGTCAGTGTTCGTATAACGAGCTAATACAATGTTACGTGGATTGACTTATCTGTATCTGTCCACCCCCAGTGAATCTTGTTCCACACACAGCATCCTTCCGGGCCTTAGTCCTGGAACCTTTCGCTGTGTTTCGAGGATCCCCTCAGTGCATGTATTCAGCACAGGTCATACCAGTGTCCTTGACGCTACAATGACGAATATTTTTAAGTCACATGTTTCACTAAATAATGTTTGGCAACACTACTATGTTTGGCAATTCATTCTCATAAATAAATAAATCAATCAATAGGTATAAATTATAATGGTTACCAGTTAACATAAGTCAAAACAAATTATTGCCAACATGGCGCACCTTACTTTCGACTTCCGGTCATTCACTTCCGCCCAGACATTTAAACCAAAATTTAAATGGACAAAATATTTCACATAATGTAACAAATCTGAATACAAGAAAACTGCGTACAATAACACCTTTAAACTCTATCGATACAATACAAAAGCCATTCGAACACTCTCGCTAACCGTCACACCTGACTGAACAACAGGTAAAATTGTGAGAGCTGGCCAAGTTCAGAAATAAGAACGAATACGTATTCAGTAATAAATTTACTTAAAAAAACTATATACATAACGAATATTAATAATATTATAAGTAAATACTTACCACGGACCTGTCTCCATGCCAAAGCCAAGATACTGATTGTATGGCAGCTATTTGCATGTACACTAGCTGCTTCAATTGTAGAAACGTGTCTGCAGCTACGCTTCTCTGCCGGGAAAGACCAGGCCTCATTTGTTCTGGTCGGCCAAGCTATTTTGCAAGGGCTTATGGGTAGATGGGGCATAGGGACAAAACGCGGGAAATACAAATAATATGTACAAGTAAAATAGTGATTGTTACAGTAAGGTTAATATCTATCTCTCAGATTTTTTTTTATTTCTCGCAAGTCTGATGCTCAGCTCTGCGTAATTTTAAAACTCTCATGGTTTCTCACACAAATAAAATTGTTACGATGTGATATTGTGTAAGTTACAACAAAATGTATTTTAAAGGTGATTTTTTTTTCACTAATTCAGAACATAATTTACAAATAATATTTGGTAGGACTTGGATATACTCTTGGTTAGAAACATGGCAATTGTCAACCTTTTTTTGGGGGGGGGGGGGTTCTTCCCCATTGCATGCGCTTTTACAATCCTTTTCTTTAACTATCGCAATGATTCGCCTCTCCTGTAATGTTAAATTCTTGAAGATTCTCTTTTGACTATGGATGACTTTTTTTCTTTCGTCTAGACACAGTTCCTGTAACTTGTATTTTCTGTACATTCACATGACTCCATAACGCAAGATGATAACACAGTTTTTCTCTAGCATCTGTTCGGCTGCTTTCCATATTTAAAACAGGCATTTTTCACAGAAAATATCTGAAATCTAGCTGCAAGTAAGATCCGTCCCAATACAAAATTACAAAGTTCCAAATCACAAATATAATAATAACAATGGTAATAATTTACCATGAAAAATAAGCAATCCTTCATTATCCGATCTTTTTGCTTGATTTCTATCAGCTGCTGTATCCCTTTTCGGCTCTACAATGAAAACTATATGAACTGAAAAAGTATGCGGAGCTGGAAAAAGGGCGGGCTTCTGTACTTGAACCAGGAAATTTACTACTTGCGAAGTATGAATAAAATAGAAAACTGTGAACAGGTTAAGCTTAAAAATAAAATTATGGCAAATTTCTAATGGCAAATAAAGATAAAAATCATAAAGCAATTTCAAAAATTAAAAAGAAGACCTATCTTTACTGATTGATTGATTGTATGTTGTTTCACGTCCCGTTCGAGAATTTTTCACTCATGTAGAGACGTCACCATATACCGGTTAAGGCTTCATATTTATTACTCAGCATTCAGGGCCATTGAGCAGTGAGGGTTCTTTCTCGTGACACGGGGCCTCGGTAAGGTCTCATCCGAAGGACCCGCAACTCTCACTTCAAAGTGCCGAGCGCTTGGCGAAGGGACAGGTTCTACCTATTTGTTATCGACTTAGGCCAGTCGTTGCCGTGATTCGAACACACAACCTTCCGATCACGGAGCGAGCGCTCTACCGACTGAGCTATCGTGACGGTCCAATCATTAATTGAAAATGAAAAAAGTCTTCCTTTTTAAACAAGAGGCCCAAGGGCCTTAACGGTCACCTGAGTATAATACAACAATTTAGAGGATCCATAGAGTTTAAAATGAACTGAAAGGTGAAGCTTTGTTGCCCAAAAGGAAGAAAAATAGGATGATCAGGATTATCAAAATGATTAGTCTAGTATTCATTAACAATTCATAAATTAGGTTCTAATCTGTCCCCCATTTATCACTCTCACCAGACAGTATATAAACAAACTATCAGTGCTTCTGCACTCTTTTAATTCCTTGTTGAAATCTCTTACATTGGCCTCTCTTGGTCTTTGATGAGCATTTAATAAGACAAGATATTTTTGTCTCATTTTTATTTATCTATTACTTACAAGTCTACCTGATCATTAAAACTATGAAAGTACTTTTTGTATTATACAATAAAAATTCTTGCATAATTCACTTATTCTATTAACCTTTCAAGTACATTATTTATAGTGATTAAATGGCAAATGGGAATAACTCCTCTCAGTAGAATAAAAATTCCTGGCCTGGACCAGAACACTTGACCAAATGGTCCTGATGTTCAAAAATCTGGTAAAAATACCCTTCCTTTTACTCTTTTTGCCTCTGATATGCCCAGGTGCAGAGAAGATTTTTAAAGCATTAATGCATTTTCACTATATAATAAACCCCGCCCTTTCATCAGAACCTCTGATCCAGGGGCCATGAAATTCACAGTTTTGGAAGAGGCATCCTTGCTTATCATAACCATGTATTTGTTTAAATAATACCCAGGAGAATAGAAGATTTTCAAAGCATTAATGCATTTTCACTATATGATCTATATAGCCCCGCCCTAGCACCAGAACCCCTGATCCTCGGGTCATGAATTTGACAATTTTGGTAGAGTCATCCTTGCTTATCATTACTATGTATTCAATTTGTTTCAATAATACCCAGGAGTAGAGAAGAAGATTTTCAAAGAAATAATGCACTTTCACTATATGATCTATATAGCCCCACCCTAGCACCAGAACCCCTGATCCTGGGGTCATGAAATTCACAATTTTGGTAGAGTCATCCTTGCTTATCATAACTATGTATTCAATTTGTTTCAATAAATCCAAGGAGTAGAGAAGAAGATTTTCAAAGAAATAATGCATTTTCACTGTATGATCTATATAGCCCCGCCCTAGCACCATAACCCTTGACCCTGGGGCCATGAATTTCACAATTTTGGTAGAGGGCTCAATGCTTATTACAATCATGCCAACAGTTTGACTGCTTAATGTCCAGGAGTAAAGAAGAAGATTTTTAAAGATTGCATTAATTTTGATGGTTTTGGCCCCATCCCTCAGGCCCCAGGGGGGCAGGGGCCACGAATTTCACAATTTTTGTTCCCCTTTACCCATAGATGCTATATGCCAAAATTGGTTGAAATTGGTTTGCTGGTTCCAGAGAAGAAGCTGAAAATGTTCAAATGTTTACGAACGACGCACGACGACGGACGAAAAGAGATAGCAATAGGTCACCTGAGTGACTCAGGTGACCTAAAAAAAAGTGATGGTGCCTACTTAATGGCACAAAATGTATAGAACAGTCAATTATCTAATAAATAAACCGAGGTCGCAGTAAGTGCTGGCATTTAAAGATCCAAAAAGACTATTGCCAAGTACAGGTCTAAATTTGCAGCCCTCCACCAAGTAGTAGCGTCTCAATATGAAAAATTCTCAAAGGGACGTTAAACAACAAACAAACAAACAAGCTGTTTTACAAGGAACCATGAAGAAGAGATGGATCATGTTGTCCACAAGGTCTGGTCACCAGAGAGAGAAGTATTTATTATAGATAATATTATGTTTCCCTAACTTGAGGAAACTTATTCTTGCATATAACATGTAAAAATATATAAAACTTGAATAAATTCTAATCTAGTACATTGTCCGTGACCCAAAAAATGTCAAGATTATGGGTCGATGTTAAATCAAAGTCAGTATTCCAGGAAATGTTAAAGTCATGTATGTTTAACCTTCTAAACTTTGTTGGAATGAACTGAAAAATCAAATTGTTGACAAATGACTAAAGGTCTTTTAAAATGATCTTAAAGATTCACAGTGTAGCTCTTTTTAAATATATTGTTTTCGACTGATACATAAAAATGTATCATTGAAAATGATATATTTAAAAGAGCCTATAGAGACAAATGAGTTACATTATTGATAACATATAGTGTATATTTAATTAGAATACAAAAATCGGAAAAAGGTGATTCGACCCCAGATTAAAAAAGAAAAAAATCGAGGGGGGGGGGGGTCAATAACCCAGGTGCCTGTGCTTAAATATTCTCTCATTTGAATCACTTATCTATATTCCTGTCTAAGAAAAGACTCTCTCTGTTATTTGAAACTTCAGAGTAGTAAATATGTTCTTTGCTGTTTGAACATTTTCGTTAATTAAAAAAACCCCAAAAATTATTTAAAATAGTTACATGATTTTTTTTAAGTATTGGAAACCGAATCGGAAGACAGCGTCTGCTTACAACCAAAGAAAACAGGCCCCTGTAAGGCAAGGATGGAACGATACTACTACAATGTCAAGAACAAGGAGTGCGAAAAGTTCATTTATGGCGGATGTCAGCGAAATGACAACAATTTCAAAACTCTGGAGGAGTGCGAAGGTAAATGTAAAAACTGAAAATGTCGAAATTTGAAAATTAAAAAATTTAGTACCGTCAAATGGGACTCACAATTTAATTAAGTTTAGGAAGCCACATTTAAATAATCAAACTGATTAACTGCGAGATATTTTGTAAAAATAACATGTACACACGAACTTAAACACTTTCTCTCCTATACGAGTGAGCCCTGATTGAAAAGATGAAGATAACAAAACTGTGGTTAATCTCATTAGTCTTAAAAAATAAAACAAATCGTGAACAGGGCAAAAACACGGACGCCCTGGAACACCAGAGGTGGGATCAGGTGCCCAGGACGGGTAAGTTTCTCCCGTTGACCGGTTACCTCTCTGAGCCCTCTATATACTGATCAGGTAAATGAAGTAATCCGTACTCATAATTAGTATGAAAATCACTGGATTAACAATTGATATGAAATATGTCAAAGTATGATCCAATGATATTTTGTATTTGCAAACGATCATTATTTATTGCAGCTATAGAATTTAAGAAATGCTGGCTTTAAACGAGACTGTTGAATTAAATTTTATGATATTTAATATATTATATAGAACTTTAATGTTTTAAGACTGACTGTGACCGTGTCATGGTAGGTGTGAGCTTCAGCCATTCACCGGCATCTGGTTGCGACAAATAGGAGCGAAAAAAATCTCGCCAGGGACGAAAATTCACAAAAACTGTAACATCAAACATTCAATCGATGAATAATATGGTAATCAAATTGTGAATTTTTACTACATGTATGTTGCAGTATAATATGCCAGACGTTTCTGATTTGTGAAGAGAAAAGATATGGGCTTGGTAGAACATCTACTGGATCTTGCAATATATCCTTGTTAGTGAGGTTTTTTTTTTGGAAGTTTTGGATCCAGTAGATAAAGTAACTAAAATTTGTTTTTGTTGACTGTGATGTTGTAAGCATTTTGAAACTGAAACGTGATTTTGTACTAAAGAAGGTTACACTTTTAATTACCGGCATGGTGGCGCATTTTCCATTAACTACTTTTAGACCAACTTGCAGCAAAACAGTATGGCAACTATGAATCTTTATGATTAACGAAAATTCTACAATTAAATAAATTTAAGGCAGAGTTTTATTTATTTCACAAATAAACGGATGCTTTTCTGAACAGTTGACGTCTCCCCAGGTCCAATCGTTGTCAGGATACTGCAACAGAAGACAGTCCTGATTACTTCCCACGTTATTTGGTTGCCCAGATTGCCAGTTGCTATAGGTAATTGGATATGGAGTTCCGGTGTCCGTCCATTCAAATATACCCTCGGATCTGTCATCGGTCCCACTTGTGTAGAAACCATTGCTTGCGGCAGCAGTCAAATCTGCAAAGAAAAGTTAATTAGATACTTCATAGAATAATACTTAAAATACAAAAGTACAATAATTCAATTGATAACTCAAACAACATTTTGTCAGTATTTGAATCCATATACAGTATTGGACTAGATATGTTTGAATCACAGTGGAAATTTGTAATTATGGTATTTATAAAAAAAAAATCCTTAAATATAAATTTTTGCAGCACACTAGACACAAAGAAAATAATGAAGAGTCTTAATGAAATATCAAATGAAAATGTCTATATTTCAAAACTGTAGAGATATTGAGTTTAGACCTTCAGTTTGTTTGATGATTTTGACGATGAAGTCTTGTTCTTCTTTGGATCTGACAGAGACCAGGTGAGAGTAAGGATTTTCCTGTCTACAGGTAACCTGTGCCTCATACCACGTACTGGGTGTTGTATGGAATGTATAATAACTTGTGGTGTTAGCCGTCACCCTTGTATGGGAGTTTGATGGGTACTTAGGAATGCCTTTAAGTACCACAATATGGTTATACCATTATTTAAAACTTTAAATTTGATTTGTGATGTTTTTACTATAATTTTATCCACTTTTCTTTAACAACTTATAATACAACTTAAATTTGTTATATGCACTAAAAGTAAATATCTACACCCACAGCTGAAGTAAATCTCCACAGATACACAATAGCGAAATTCAACACTTACACTTATCGAAAAGCCTATCATACTACACTAAAGTGAACCTCAACATTTACACTAGTTAAATAAATCTCTGCACAAACACTAATAATAGTAAAACTCACCACTAACACTAGAAGTAAAAACCTACACATATCCTAAAGTAAACCTCAACATTTACACTTAAAGTATTAATTTTCACTAAGACTTATAATGAATCTCAACACATGCAATACAGTGAACCCCACACTTACAACAGAGTAAACCTCAAATGGTACATATACATTGTACATAAAAGTTCCCCTTAACATTAAAAAACTACATATAAATCAAAGTGATTCCCAACACTACACAAATCTACAAATAACTCTCCAGACATACACTTGAGTGAACTCCAACAATTACAATACAATAGAATGAAATATGAAAATAACAAAAGAAATAAAGCTCAAAAGTCCATAGATATAATTCAAATTGTGAGCAGAGCAAACACGGACCTCTAAAAACATCAGAGGTCGGTGGGATCAGGCGCCATGAAGGAGTAATAATAATTTTAATTTTAAAAAAAATTGCTTCTAAGTTAAACCTCTACGCATTCTCTATAAGTAAACTATTAATACTTACCTTAGAAGTGAAGCACACACGTACAGTAACTCTCTAAAGTACTCAACAGCAAACCTCCACACATACACTAAAACCTTTCATACTCGCACTAAAAATAAACCTTAACACTTACACTAAAATTAAACCTTTAACACTTACACTAAAAATAAACCTTTAACACTTACACTAAAATTACAACTCATCACTTATACCAGAAGTAAATCTTCTTGCATAAACTCTTTGCTCTTATTCTAGTCGTAACCTTCGACACTTTTACTTAAAGTAAACCTCTAAATTTACACTTAACGTAAACTACAACACTTGAACTAGGAGTAAATTTCAGCACTTGAAATAGGAGTAAATTTCAGCACTTGAACTAGGAGTAAACTTCAAAACTTCCACTAGAAGTAACTCTCCACACCTACACTAAAAGAAAACCTCAAAACTTACGTTGGTAGTAAAACTCGAGATGTACACTACATGTACAATTAAACCTTGACACGTGCACTAAATATAAACCTAAAAACTTACACTCAAGTAAACCGAGATTTATACTAAAAGTTAACCTCAAATCTTACATTAGAATTATCTCAACACTTACTCTTGCAGGTAGAGTTGAAGACGTAGATATCGTCTATTGCTATATCGCCATTCCTGTTATGGTAGGTGTATCCGGAACTGTAGTGATACAGCTTGTAGCTGTCTGTTTTGGCCTCAAAGACCAACTTAAATTTTAAACACACATTGTTTCAGTTAATAAACAAATCAAATTTTTGAAAGATGAGTATTACAAAACAAAGACCAAAGATAATATATTATTAGTCTTACATTGAGAGAAGAGACCGTGTATTCCGAGTCTAAATAAATTTTTCCGAGATGCCACTCCTGATCGAGACCGCCTTTATGAGAAAATACCGGATATCCTAGACCTCCATGGATCTGACAAAAGCAAATTAAACTCACTAATTAGATATCACTATAAGTAAGTTTTTTTACATTTAAAAAATTATTCAACAATAAAGAAGGACACAACATATAAACAAACTGTCATACCATTAAAAATATATAACATAAATTTTGCGCATGGTGCTATCCAGCTGTACACATATTTACGGCCTTGTTTGTTCATTGTAGAAACGACTCACTTAATTGCGGGTATTTCTTGTCTTTTGTTATTTGTTGTTAAATATTATGGAGCGAAAACCAGCATTACCAACCTTGGCGTATACATTCAGTTCTTTCACATCGTCCCCATGAAGATTGTACCAGAACAAGATACAATATCCATGAGAAGACGGGAGTTCAGGGGAGATAATTCTGGTTGTGGAGGTTGTTGCATGCGAGTGTCTTGTAGCATGGTTGTAAGCATCCAGAAACATGTAATGTCCTATAAAAATGTTACCGTTTTAGTGTTAGCAGTTAAAAAGCCATTCCATGGATCTAACTTACAAATATATTAAACATAGGTTAATGTCAAGTCAATCAAGAACATGCGTATGATAGATAAAATCGAACCCGGAGAGTTTTGTATGCGTACATGATTTGGATTCTATCTCACCATGTGGATTTCCGTAGGTGTGGTCCTGCTTTGGTCCTGTTCTTGATGACTGCGTCCCATGGCCATAAGACCAGTCTAGATCATCTGAATGATCCTGGAGAAATCCACACTGATTTGATGTTTCAAAGTCACAGAAAAAGACAGTTGATGCAGAGGTGGATGAACCTAACATTAAAAAATATATTACTTAGTATCAGTGAATCAGTATTTTTCATCTGTAAGGATATTTAGTCATGAGAATTAACCTTGTTGTGACGTAGCTGAGGAGACAGACACCTGTCCACAAATCTGAGATTCCCTGCTAACTTTATGAAGTTCATTCCGCAGACGTTCCCTCTCTTTAAACCAGTTCTGTCTTTCTGTTGTGATTGCATTCTCCGTGCTCTGCATGTCCAAAACATACTTGGAAATTGTTGCATTGTCTTTTATATTTCTTTCGCGAGTGGCTGTAAGTTCCACTGACTTCTCGTTCAGCTCGGCTTTCACCCCCGTTAAGTCAACTTGCACGGCTTGGAAAGTACTATTGATGGTTTTCACCCAGGTAGATACATTCTGAAATTCATTTCGAACTGAAATGACATCACTACATGGACAGCTACGACGATTTCCGGTACTGATTAACGACCTTTTCGCACTTCCGTCACAATGATGTACATTTATATTGTACAGGCACGATCCACTAAAAGCACAGTTAGATGTTGCACAGTCTCCAGTAGAAACGAGATGTATAATGAACAATACTAATATGTTGTTCTTCATATTGATAACATCTACTGTATGTAGAGATAAGATTCTTTGACCTTCTCTTCGTTCCCTCTTGCTCTCGTGATAACGTACTTTGAATAAAGACAATGTAAAGTGAAATGTATTGTTTGTTTATAATTTATATATATACAGTTACTGTGGCTTGTACAAGTTTCGGCAAAGGTATTGGTTTGGTTTTTATTTGAAAATGAAAACATTTAAACTTTTGATACAGAAGAAGAAAAATAATTTGTTGGAAGAGATTTCTGCAAACATGCGACTCCCTAAAGATAAGATATTGACAAAGTAAGAATCATGGTAAGGGGCACCAGTTTTATCGGCAGTAGTTATCATAATGTGGCTGGTAACTCTTGTTGGGTCTTGCTTGCTATTTGTTGGATGTATCAAATCACAATTCCAACCTGGTTGTAGTTTCTCAAATGGACAATGCATCTATAACGTCAAACTCGGACATGCACAGACATGTGACGCGGCTGGAAGTTCTGGTCAAGCATCAACCACGACGCACTCAAGTTCTAATGGTTGTTCATGTGACGATATCCACAAGGTAGGGACTGACGTGACCTCATTACGGACGACAGTGTCTGATCTCCAAAAAGCGGTAGATAAACTATACAGTGAAATGAATATCTCCAGATCCGAGCTTACACAAACACAAGATTTGCTCCATGGAGAACAGCAGCATGCCGCGGAGCTGCTGGTGACACTGAACAGTAAACAGAAAATGCTGAACCAATCCAAAGAAGAGCTGGCAAACGTTTTATTGTCAGCCAAAACTGAGCTGGATAATCTTCGTGAGCAACTCATCAACGCCTCCAAACAGCTTTCAATTTGTCAGGGAAATGCCGGTCTGCCGACGACCACAACTCAAGGTAATCATTAGACATTGTATATGAAGAATTTGGGATACTTATCAACAAAAAGTAATTATTTAGTGTGAGGGGAAAATGACAATCCACATGCTAGTGAAATTATTACAATCATTGAATTCAATTTCTTTCCATTTGTGTAGTTTACTCCGAGTACTCGACATTTTACTGTGGCTTTGAGAATTACCAAGGATCCCTGTGTAACTTCCAGACGGAGACCGATTCCAGCACGAGTTCTTCGCTGCGGATGTACTGGTCAAAACAGAGTGGTCGACATTATTCCGTTACAGGACCAAACATGGACCACACCTACGAAACATCATCAGGTAACTTAAAGACAGATACAAATTAGAAAAACTAACTTTTGATAGGAGCAGCATATACAAAGCACTAGGTATGATTTATTTAAATATCATACTTTCTTTAATTCTATAGAATTGTCTGTTCTCAGATATTATTCTTGAGATGCCCTCTTTTAAGGTCACTACATGGTTATCGACGCCCAGTACATATCGCAGCACTCTTCTTCAACCTCAGAACATAATTTTCGCCTAGTGTCGCCGACCTTTGAACCTGCGCAACATTACTGTATTCGCTTTTGGTATAACATGCACGGAACTGATGTAAAACCACTTAAAGTTTATGCAAAGGTATATATATATATATATATATATATATATATATATATATATATAAAGGTGCTGCCTGTATTTCTGTTTCTAGAGGCTTGTGTTCCCAAGAAATGTTACTGAAACATACTTTTTTAATAACTAGGCCTAACACATATGAAAGTAGACATAATTGTAAATTCTGTTCCCCACAAATTTCGTTCAGAAGAGAAGCGCCTGAAATATTGTTGTTGTAGTAATCGAGGCACGAGATAATTTTAACTCGATTGATCTGTAAGCATTTTTTTCTGAAAATTCTTCCTCCTACAGTTTTCATATGATTTTAACAAAAGTTAGAAATTGTTGACACATATAGCTGGACACTTATCAATGAATCATATTGCAACAATGATTACAGGGGAAAATCCTTCTTTAAACGCTTCTGAAGTTTCGGTCTAATTTCTAACAAAAAAAACACGTGTAGATTACTAGTATATTATGAATTTATGATGCTTAATATTATCTAATCACTGTTTGATTCATTGAGGATGTTAGATTACTAAATGTTGTCAAATCTGAATTCTTTTAAAATAATGTAAGCTCCCCGGGAATGGCCAAGCTTAAGTTGGGGACGCTACAAAATAATAACTGTCAGTACTTCTGTACTAAAATCCTTGGTCCCTTGGTAATAGGGAAAACATAAGATTCATCTTGGTCTCAGTAATATTTATTAATCATAATATAGTTTTCATCTGAACAGGTACAATTCATATTGGTGGCGTCTACCGTACAGGCTACTATTATAAAAAGGGGGGGGGGGGTGTACAATGGCTATAGTAGGATGATCTCCAGAGTTAATTACAATAAAATAGGTGTCCAGTGTGTTGGGAGATAATTGTCGAACATTTTCTCACCTGGAATCACAATAGTATGACTATGGTGAAAATATGGGCGGATCTTGGATCTTACTTTGAATTTACGCGCCTGACAACTCGGCAAATTATCTGTTGACATAATGCGATCGCCCCCTATATATAACCTTCGGAAAAGGGTCACATGACAAGATTCGACCAATACAAATGTTGTACGGCGACGTTCCACCAATTACGACAATGGACGACATCGTACAAAATAAAAATCGTGTCGTACTGTCAAACAAAGTTGTCGTACAATATGGATTATAAACAAACCCAGGAATTAAGTTGTGAAAAGACAAAATAATCAATAAATATGGATGACAAAAGATGTGTCTATAATAAGTAAGTAAACAATTTATATCTGAAACTTGTAAATTTCACAGAAGTAAACTTGCTGAGTATGCAGACGATATCGCGGATGGATAAAAATATAGTACAAGTTTTAGACACATGTAATCGGGAATAACAATTACTAAAATGAATATTAGAAATCACAATAATAATTAACATAATTAATAGCAAGTAATTATGCCAGTAATGTAACATGAATAACATGAGGTTAAATGCGAAACTAATCTACTTAACATGCACCGATAAAGATGGCAGACGGGATGTAAACAAGTTGCATGGCAGCAGATGATTTAAAGTGTTGCAGCTAATCTACACATGTAGAATTGCTAAGATAATGACAGTTAACTCAAGAAATACATGGAGATTAAAGATGAAGGGTAACTAATTCATGGTATGTAAAAATAAATGCGAACATTAACATTCCTGACCAATTCTAGCACAACGTTTTGACACGCATGAAATAATATTACAAGTAAAGTCCACCCGCCTTACTATGATTACACAGTAAACCATAGTAAAATTTTAGACATCTGACAGGTCCTTACATTTCCCCCTCCCTAGTTACTTAATTCTCCTGAATTAATTAAAAGATTTAGAATTCATTTCATAGGTTAATAACAATTCAGCAATATTTGTATACATCATCAGTTCATAATAATGTCATTTCACTACATGTATCACTCTGTAAGACGGAGAGGAATCCTGGCTTCATCAATCATGAGGATGACCTTGTCCCACAGCTTGTCCCGTTGAGCACTACCAGCCTCCAGAAAAGAAATCATGGCCTCATTTTGTTGGGTGTGACTCTTACCCATGGCAATAGAACGCACAGCTTGGTAAAGATAGACACGACTCTTAGATGCTGGATAAGAAGTCTTCTTCGGAGAGAGAACAGCTGTTCCTGGCAGCGCAAGGAAGTTAAACTCATCGGTTAGGAAACTCCTATCGACTCCTCCATCACTCCCTGGAATGCTCCTCCTCAGGGACATGGCAGCAAATTCAAGTTCAAGAAGCTTCTGGTCAGGTGTTAGCTGGTTAAAATTCTTTGGTGGCCAGGAAAAAGAGGAATTTCCACAAGGGACTGTCACGGCCCCATCAAGCTCCCATTGACGTCTGGCTGGTGGAAGTAGTGGCATACAGCCAGTGGAAAGTAGCTTCTTGGCCCGTACTGCCAGTTGCCCAAGGGAAGGGTCCTCAGGGGATGGAGAGAGAGCAGGTACAGGAACAGCAGCAGGCTCAGGAGGAATGATGACTTGAGTCTCCATGGGGACAGAGGCTGACATCTCCAAGAAGGCAGAGGAAGCTGATGTAGGAGAAAGAGAAGCGACAGGGAGGGAACACAAGATGGACTGTGACCTGGTAGCCTGGTATTCTTCTAATCTGATTTTCTTCTTTTCTGGTTCCTTGATTTTAGTAGGGCTGGGAGTCTTGGTGACAACAGCATGGGCTGGGGATGGCAGAGATTCAATATCAGACTCAGCAAATAATTCTATTTCTGGTTGAAGTTTTTGTAATTTTAATACTGACTTAATGTACTTCTGTTCTACACCCAATGATGTTGCGAAATGATTTGTTCGTTCTTTTGGTAGGTTTAATGGTCTGAAGTTTGCCAGAGGGGGAGTAACAGGTTCAGATTTCAGCACTGCCATTTTCCTGGAAAGGCTGGCAATCCCCCTAGGATCTAGGAGCACCCCATCCTCCAGACTAATGCTATAAAAATTCACATCATCCTCCAGCACTGCTGTCAAGGCCTTAGGTACCAGGGAAATAGAAGCAATAGTGAACAAACTAGGAGAGCCAGGGTTAAATTCTTGACAAGACACCACAGATGAGAAGTTCACAGCCTGGGACTCCCACCCTTCCAACCACTCCTGCCTGGAACGCCTGGGAATGAAGGACACCTTCCTTGTCCAGTCGAGGAGGAGGGCTCGCAACTTCCCGGAAGCTCTTGCATTTCTTTCTGTTGGCTCGACCAGCGATCTATACAAGGAGGGTTGGCAGGCGATCCAAAAACAGTTATTTTCAGAGAAAAGATCATCCACAGGGACATTAACAGATGGTAGGGACTCTTTGTGGCGCTTCAGGACATGGCTCTTCAGATCGGCGGGCCGACTGAAAGTGTTCTCCTTTGAAATACAAAAAGGGCACACTACTTTCATGGCACAGTGTGGCGCTGGCATTAAATGCTCCTTGAGCTTTCTTCGGCTCTCAAACTGAAGGCTGCACTGTTCCCCATTAACCTCTAGGTTGCACTGGAACATTCTGTGGAAGGAAATATAATTTTTCTAATAAAGGCGTGTTAACCTCTAGGTTATTATGGAATTATAATACAATATCAAAGTAGCACCATGGCAGCTATAGGACTACTTGGGATGGGGTTAAATCTAGGAAATCACAGATGGAAATGGCAATGTGAATTTTCTATTGGTATGGAGGGCATTCATGCTACAGCTTGGGCAAGGGGCTAAGATATATAAATTCATCCAGGTGGGAGAAATAATGGGCTATAGGACTTACTAATACCTCCGACAATGATAGATGTAGTATAACCAAATTATCATTGAAGTAACATCAAATATATGGTACCAAGAGAGACCAACACCAATGACAAAAAAAAAATCAATAATAATAATACAGCAGCACCTCTGCCAGCAACAACATACAACTCCTAAATTATCTACACACAGGCAATGGTCACACCTTCTTGAGATGCAGGGCCCTTTGCATCCAGATGTCAACCCAGTGAGGGCCATAGGCTGCACGCATCCGTCGCCTCCCGTCACCACTTGGGCAAGGGCCATAGAGTGCGCACCTCCGTCCCCTCCCAATACCCAATGGTGCGGGCCATAGACCGCACACGCCCGTCACCTCCCTTCACTGGCCTCAAGGATTTTATAAAAAAAAAAAAATAGTACAAAAAAATGTCATGTCATACAGTCTCTAAATTTGATAAGATCTCTGATGTGCTATTCCCTATTCTGTTTTTGGTACCATCTTGGAGGGTTTTTGCCACGGTAGGGAAGTAATCGGTCAACATGGTACACCTTGCCTCGCTGTTTCTCAGATCGCTGAACCAGGAAGGTGACGTCATCTATCTTCTTGGTTATAACATATGGTCCCTTCCATTTGCATGTAAGTTTACTGCACACCCCTACCTTTTTAGATGCATCATAGAGCCACACTGGTTGGCCTTCCTCAAAGAATCTGCAATTGGATTTGGTATTATAGTACGTCTTTTGATAGTCTGCATACTGTTTTAGGTTTTTCCTGGCAACATCATGTGCTTTTGTTAATCTTTCCTGCAAAGTTTTGACAAAATCTTCTGGTTCTGATATCTCGTCATCGCTCAGTTGTTTTGGCCTTGGAATAACAACTTCAAAGGGCATCATTATGTTTCGTCCCAACATCATCATGTTCGGTGAAATGCCTGTACTAGAGTGGACAGATGACCTATAAGCCATCATTAATTGTGGTAATACTTCATCCCAATGCCTTTGATCTTTGTTACAATACATTTTTAACATGTTGACTAGGGTTCTGTTAAATCTTTCAACAGCCCCATTAGCTTGGGGTCTTTGGCTTGTAGTTCTTGTTTTTTCTATTCTAAACATTGATAACATGTCCTTGAAAAGATTTGATTCAAACGATCTCCTTTGATCAGAATGTAGTTGAAGTGGGGTTCCAAATCTACATATAAATTCATTAACTATGACTCTTGCAATTGTACAAGACTCTTGATCCGGGATAGGAAATGCCTCTGTCCACTTAGTAAAA